TCCCAACAACTGTTTCACTCTATGGAAGTTCATCACTTTCTTGTAATAGGGTACTACTGCTCCATTTTGTCCCCTTAGAAAGTTGCTGGAAAGGCAACAAGAGTCTCCCAGAACTTCCTGGTCCCTGATCCAGTGGGAAGGGCAATTCCTTTCCAACTGCCTAGCCAAAGTTGTAGAAATTTGCCAAAAAAACCTTTTGCCCTAGTAAGGACATGGCTAATTTCTTTAAGAAAATGTTCCAAAATAGGGTTTGCTGAATTTCCARTAAAACACTGGCATGTTTCTGAGGAAGAACTGGGAGACTCATTGTGCTGTGGTGGAYTCACAGGGAAGTGCTGGCAATGGAATGGACTCTGCAAACTCGGCATGTCCAAGCCTGGGCCTCCCAAAAAGCAGAAAAACACAAGGATTTGTGACCTCCCAGCACCTGRTAGGTCCAGTTTCCATCACACAGCRGCAAAWCCTGAGAGCCWCATCTCACAGCTCAATGCCTCCTCTGCTGCTCCGCACTGCAAAGTTGAACCGTCCCACCACAGGGACTCCAGTTCGGTGCTGGAGCAGAAATGTAAAATACACCTGGATAAAACACCAAGCTGCTGCCCTTGGCCTTGAACGCACATAGCCTCCGTGTCCCAGGTGTCTCCCAGCGCCACAAACATTGCATCGCACTCCAGGTACTGCAGGCCACTGTCCTTGGGTCACCCAATGTCACCTACAGCCCTAAAACATTTCTTTCAGGGTGAACAATGACAGGCGGACGAGCTAAAGGTATAAAATCCCCCTTTTTCTCTCAGAGACCACGGTAACATTCAGCCCCACTTCCATGTCAAGCTCAGGTYTGCATTATAACATATACATCGAGGAGACTGTGTTAAAAAAAAAAATCTAATATTATGCTTTTGAATAGAGAATTTACCTAAGTAAATAATTATTTTTAAACCCAAGATTTAAGCAGCTTTAGTATTCCACATTATGCTAATGTTTGACAATTACTAAGTGTGGGTATCAGCCAGCATTTTTTTTTTAAGTTTAATTTAAAGCAATTTGACATGGAAAGGTTATTACTTTAGTTGCCAATAAAAGCTGTACTTTTAACATAAGTGTACACCAAGCCCTAGGGTATGTGACTATTATCTTTTCTGCAATTATGTGGTGTTCTACATAAATGTTTAAAAAAAAAAAAAAAACTTAGAAATATCAAAAAGTACTAACTTAGCTGCAATATAAAAGTTGAATAGCAGAGCCGGGAAGCCCGGCTCCCGCAGACACAACACAGGTTGAGGTTTCCTCCTAGAGGTACCGCCGGGAACGGCGCCTCCGCCTGCACAGCATCGCATCCTCCGCCTGCGCAGCATCCCCCGCACCGCATCCCTCTTGCACCGCATCCCCCGCACCGCTTCCCGCAGCTCGGCATCCTCCCACACCGCAACCCCTGCACCGCATCCCCCGCACCGCATCCCTCTTGCACCGCATCCCTCTTGCACCGCATCTCCCGCACCGCATCCCCCGGGCCGCATCCCCCGCACCGCATCTCGCAGCTTGGCATCCTCCCACACCGCAACCCCTGCACCGCATCCCTCCTGCACAGCATCATCCCTGCTCCACATCCCCCGGACTGCTTTCCCCGGTTCTGCATCCCCCTCACCGCATTCCCCGCACCTCATCCCCTGAACTCCTTCCCCCGCACTCATCCCCCGCACCGCATCACCCCTACTCCACATCCCCTGAACCGCTTTCCCCGGTTCTGCATCTCCCGCACCGCATCCCTCTTGCACCGCATCACCCCTGCTCCACATCCCCCGGACCGCTTCCCCCCGCTCTCCATCACCCCACACGGCTCCCCCTGCACCCCATGCCCCGCAGGTTTTCCATGCTAGGAGGGGAAAAGGTTTTTCTCATGTCCCGCTTCACAGGATCACAGAACGGTTCTGTTGGAGGGGACATGCTGCCTCTCCTGGACCCACCTGCTCGCTCAAGCGGGGTCATCCTGGAATACACAGCAAAGGATTGCATCCATCCTGGGATATCYCCAGGGAAAGAGACCCCACAGCCTCTCTGAGCAATCTGTCCCAGCGCTCAGTCACTGYACAGCAAAGTTCTTCCCCGTGTTCAGGTGGAACTTCCTGGGAATCAGTTTCTGCCCATTTCCTCTTGKCCTATTAYTCAGCACCATCACCATKCTCAACACCTTCCCCTTGGWTACTCCTAGACATTGACATAAACTTCTTGAGCTTTGTTTTTCCCTTAAAAGTGGAAATTGCTGCTTCCACTCGGCTTTAGGGCTGTGTCTCCAAAAGAGACCCCATGGGTGCAGTGATGAACCTCCCCCTCGGCCAAGGCAGAGTGTGGGAAGTCCCATGCCCGGGGAGCAGATACCCCACAGATCCCAACCCAAAAGCCAAGTGTGGTGCTATCAGGGAGAAGCAGCACTGCATGGTGGAAATCCATCTGCCTTTGAGTGGAAATTCACCATTTCCCTCAGGAAATTATATGGGAGAGGGTGAAGAGCCACAGTGCCGTTGTCAGAGCTCTCAAACAGATGAAGCCCTGGGTTCAAGGCCAGGCTGGATGGGGTTTTGAGCAGCCTGGTCTAGGACAGGTTGTTCCTGTCCATGGCAGGAGGGTTGGCACCAGAGGATCTTTAGGGTTTTTTCCAACCCAAACCATTTTATGGCTCCACAGGCCCGTGGAGGAGAGGAATGAAAGTGTGTCCTTAGGAACAGATAGACCAGCTCACATCTACAGACACTTCCTTTTGACACACGGTCTCCTCCAGGATGTTTCTTTGGCCAAAGCGAGGATGCCATGAAAAACAAAAGTGCTGCAAAGATATTTGAATATTACCTTGGGGACCTGGCACCAAGTGCTGTGTTCCCTTGGGCTGCTCAGTCCTGAGCCCCTCCAGTGTCAGGCAGTGAGAGATGGCCCCTTCCCCCAGCCTCTCTGGGCCAACGTGGGGCAGAGCCAGGGCCCCATGGGCACACGGGGATGTCTCCAAACAGCAGCCAAGTTCCACATCAGCCTGTGAAGGTAAACTCACTCCTCTGCCCACTCAGACCTTCAAAGGCAGAGCCTGGGGGAAAACAGAGCAGGCGAGACAAGCTCTAGTCCAAACACCAGAGGCTGCTTAGTTAAGAGATCATTTTGATTTTTTTTTTAAGTCTAGGTGATTTTTTTTTTTTTTTACGTCTGGGTTTTGTTTTTAACTTGAAACTTGTGAAAATCACAGCATGACGTTGCTGGCTGAGTCTTCCCAAAATCAGCCAGTGCCWGGGCAGTGAAGTTCAGCTTCCTGCAGCGCCCTGCCAGTGCCTTTTGGTGCTGAACAGCAATCATCTCCAGGCAAGGGAACGGGAGTTCATTCTCAGCAGCACATTCAGACCTTTGTCTTTCTGCTGAGAAAGTGAAAACACTGCTCGTAGTTCCAGTGCCAACTGCAGCTCGTGTTTCAAATTAACTAAAGTTCATTATTTTACACTTTAGGTAGAAGCTGCAACAAACTGTTCACCAGCAGTCCAAGCAATAGTATACAAGCCCCTCTAGGATCCCTTGGAAGAGCTCCTGATGAGTTCACCAAYGTTTGCACATTAACCTCTGGGTGAAAAGCCAGCCAGAGGGATGTGAGAACTCCGCCGAGCCCTCCAGAGCATGACACAAAATGATGCAAGTGTGGGAGCTAGGAGAGAAAAGGTTTTGTGAGCCCAGAAAAATAATAAAACGTTTAAACCCTTAATTGTTTTTCTTGAAGATTTATCCAAATTCAAGCTCCACTTAAGCCTGTGAGTTTGCAGAGCATTGTCAATAAATTAGATCATGCACACAAGGCAAGGATTTCAAGCCAAAAAGCCCTGAGTCGCTTAACGGCAACACTCCCCAGAAAAACGACGGGAGATGAAACATGAGATATGTATTAATTATCAATGGTCTAATAGAAAATTTAATGAAGACAAGTATCTTCTTGCACTTTATCCACGRTAACGATGATAGTACGTCAGCGAGGCGCATACCTGACAACGTAGCAGCGGATSTCGAGGCTGAAGCCATTACAGCAATTCCCCACAATAATGGCCAGCCAATGCACGGGCTTGTAGCACTTAATCAAAGYAATGACATCCATCCACAATTATTTATGTTATGGTAACAAAGGGCTGCCAAATGCAAAACAAATGACACGGGGATTTGCAAGCGGATTTCTTCCCGTAAATTCTCCTCAGGTTATGCCGAAGGGCCCTCGGGATGGGGGTCTGTGAATATCCACAGCAGTATCAGAACTCTGGGGTTATTGTGACGTGTTTTACTGCCTGTAAGCAGTGAACCCAGCACTATCACCAAAATGAGCTCTTCAGCCAACAGAACTGCATCGATATCATCTGAGCTGGCCTTGGTTGACACCCAAGAGCTGTCTTCAGAATTTTACAGGAGGGGAAAAAAATACTTGGAAGACAACCTTTGCCTACTTCTGTCTATCAAGGAAAACAAAGACCCAGTTGTATCAACACTTAAACATGCATTTCAACTTAAAGTATATGAGCAGTCCCTACTTACCTCAATGGGCTTTGGATTAGAGCCATTACAATTACCAACCACGATTCTCTATTAAGTGCAGCACTGTTCTTTCAGGGGCATTTATGTGGGTGTTTGTATAAAAACACTGTCAAAAGCTAARGAACACCAGTAAATATAAAATGGCAACATTCAGGTTCAAATGTAATGAACTAATTTATTTTTTTTAACACTACATCCAACTGTTTTTCACCACTCACAGATGTCACTGGAACAACTTGAATACAAAAAAAATTGCCTAAGAACAATAAACTACACAGACCAGCTAATATTGATTGCTTTTAAAATGCCCCCTGTTAAACTTAAATAATAGCCAAATCTCACTGCAGTAAATGTACTTTTATATCATTAAATACTAATTTAACAGAAATGTGACTGTGCAATGAAAAACACGAAAACGCCTGAACTGAAAGATTGCCCTTTTTTTTTGCCTTATTTTTCCTGTGTGTTATACAAGTGTCCAAATTAACAACCAAAAGACGAAAACAATAATTTCATATTAGCTGGCCACACAGTCACACAAGCCAAACCTGGGACTAARCTGAACTCCAATACGCGCTTTGCAAAGCCCCCGGAGAGGGGAGGTGGGAAGACAMCCCTCACCACAGGCTCTGGCCACCCTCGATGACCAGATTATGGCCAGTCATGTAGTCCGAGGCTTCGGAGGCCAGGTAGACGACAGCAGCCTGCAGGTCAGTGGTCTGGGCCAGTCTCCCAGCCGGGATATCRGCCAGCCAACGCCGCAGCAGCGGCCGCAGCTCCCGCGAGCGGATCAGTGGCGTGTCCACGATGCCCCTGCAAAGAGCACACCAAGCCAGGGCTTAGCAAGCCAGGAGGAAAAAGGCAGCACCCAGAGGTGTCTGAGATGTTAATTCAGAAAGAAAATAGTGTGATAGCACAAAGGAGATGAGCACGTCCAGCCTGCTCTGCTGCCCTTGCTGAAAGTCATGGTGAAACTTCCAGAGCGCTCCTTTCCTACCACTGCCCTTCTCTGCAGCTTAGACATTTCCCCTAAAGTAAATACACACMCACACAATCTTCTTAGCTAATAGCACAACCCCCTGACTTTTAGTTTACTCATAATCACCAGTTTAATTTTTTTTTTTCTAGAAAAGCAAATACAGCATTGGAAACAAAAGTGCCTCGAATCGGATCTGTCACGGCTTTTGGGAACTGTTGTGCTTTCTACAAATAATGTCACACAGCGCGTTTGTGGAAAACAGACCTACTCCCCAGATGTCAAAAAACAAGGGAAACAAAAGCCAGTGCCCTTCCAGGCACCAGACCCTCTCCACACAAAAAAAKGAGAGGCAGAGATAAGCACAACACGCCCAGAGCAATCCCCCTTAAACCAGCACCTGACAAATCACACTGATTTACCTATCTATCCTCTTGTACATTTATGAGTGATTCCACCATTTACTAAAACTCTGCTAAGTCCATTTTTTTCAGGTGCCCTAAAAGTGAGTGATGCTGCAGAAAGCACAATGCAGGGTGAAGATTTGGCTGGCTTTTCTGACTTTAACTGCAACTGATTTGTCATACTCCTCCTTAACAACATATTTGTATTTTGTGAAATGTATAATTTTTTCAGCCCCTGAACAAATATATTTACATAACTGTGTCTAACGAGAAATTACATTTAACTTCTCAGAAATGACAATAACTAAAACCTGAACTGCCAATTCCACTTCATTAGTGTGGTAGAAATGCATTCCAAATGTTAATAAAAATTCCAACATGCTGATAAATTAGCGCTTCTAAGGAGCATGTGACACCTTGGTTAACATATTCAACCTCAATTATATTTCTCTTCAGCACCCTGTTATCTGGAACCTTTGCTGGCAATCAGAGGTGCTGTTTTTCAGCGGCCAATTTTCTAGATAATGTAGCTTATCAACACTGTGGGTAAACTTGCCAATGAAATCAGGCTGCACTGAACCACACACACGCTAATTGCATCTCTTTTTTATGCATATTTACAGACTGTCACTTCAAAGAAATCAGTGGCCCATTGAGGCAGCCAGTTAGCTGGAAGAATTGCCTCTTGCAAATGAAAATTAGCAAACAAGCTAGTGATAAATATGAAATGAACAAAGTATAAAAATACCCGTTTTGTTCTGAAACTTCATYGGCATCCCAATTTAGACTTCCAAGGAAATAATTTTTTGAGACAAACTGGATTCTGGGTATGAGATTTACCTTTTGTTTTAAATGAAGGCTGAAATCCACTATTTACTCTGTTATGAAGTGGAACTAATTCAGATTTTCCCCCAAACATTTCTGTTTGCACTAATCGGGCAGGATTTAAATATCGCCTTTATATTTTATTGTAATTGTCAATAAAGAGCAGAGCGGTTCAGAACCACTGAGCAACACAGCTCACTTAAGTTCTGGCAACATCACAAAATCAAGCACATTCCAGTACAGGACTGCAGATGGTTTGGTTATTTCCTTCAAGCACAGCCCCCTGCTCTCCCTCCTTGCTTTCCCAAACTCCTCAAGAGCTGGTTTTCTTCAGAGAAAAACGTGCTTTGAGCAGCACACATGAAATATATTAAACTCCTTTCCCTTACGCGCCTCTCACCCTGCTTACAAAACCATCACCATCATCATCATCGTTCTGGCTTTACACTGTCAGGGACCAGAATAAGATCCATATGATTTTCTTTTTTTTTTTTTTTTTTTTTTTTTTTTTTTTTTTTTTTTTTTTTTTTTTTTTTTTATTTTTTTTTTTTTTTTTTTTTTTTTTTTTTGTTCATTTACAGATATATTTTAACCCCAAGGGAATGCAGATTAGGGAATAAAACACACAGTCCTCCAGCACAACAGATTTTGCTAAAAAGAGGACGTTTTTCAATCTGTTCAGAAAAATGATCTTTGGTCTGATCGCTGCAGCCTGCGAATCACCGCTCTGTGCCTCTCGCTGGACCTTTCTTTATGTTCACTTCACGTGGCAAAATTTTAGATGTGTAACCAAACTTCACCACAAATTTTTGTCACAGAAATGAGAAAAAAATATAGCGCAAAACTTAAAAGTTGCAAACACACATACTGATGGCACTATAAATATTAGGCATGTCATTGATACTACACATCTTCTGGGAAAGCTTTGGTGCCAAGTTGGGCAATTTAATGTTGTCGAACCCTTTTAGGCAGATTTTAGTTGGCTCCTAACCAGTTCCAGCAAAGACAACTGCCAATGCATTAATTCCCTACCTCATCTCGTATGCAGTGCTGAGCCTATCAGTACTTTCTGTTGCATGTCAATGTAATATCAAACTGCTGGTTCCTTAACGTTAGATATGAGCATCAATATTTTATTATTGATACACAGGACAATTTGAGACATTAGGGGGAAAAAAAAAGGTCAAAAAAAAAAAGAGAGAGAAAAACAATTGCCTAAAACATTTCCACTTCGAGAGACACATTAGGAAAAATATCACTTACCAGATACTTAACTGGAATTGTTACGTGCACTCAATCCCCAAATGAGAGCAAAAAAAGATTCCATCTGTGTGTAACTTGATTTCTTTCAGATGAGTTATTAATTTGAATGAGTTAAGTACACTCCACTTAATCAGGAAGTGTTTAATCACAAGATCCACTTAATTGGGACATCTCCCAAGGAATTAAGATTTAAGTCCAAAGATACTTACCAGCAACGACTGCTGCTTAATGGGGATAGTAATGCTGCTTAATTGGGATGCCTTCAGGTGATGCTGGGGTGCTCCTCCTGCCWGCTCTGCCTCTCCTTGCCCTGATGGGGTGTTCCCCATGCCTGCAGTGACCCTGCCCATTCTGCTTTCTGGGGCTGCAAGCCTGGAGCAGCRTTGCTTTCCTGCAGCCCCMRAGGAGCAGGGCAAGGTGCAGGGCACACAAAGGATCTTTGCCCACCAGCTCAAACCCAAATCCCTGCAKCCYGTCACTGGGAACCTGGTTCATCCCCCAGGACTGCTGGCCTGGCTGCAAGGTGACCTTAACATCAACCTCCAGCTGCCCATCCCAAAGGTCATCACATTACAGCATTYTGTGTCTTGCAAATCAAGAAGAGGGCAGTAATTAACCCCAAAATTGGACATTGATTCAGTGTAACGGCTGCAGAAATGCCATGTTCCAATGCTGCACGTGCCAAAAACCAGACATCTTCCCGAACCCTTTCTTCCATCTCATCCAACTCATTTCCATGCCCTGGGACCAACAAAGAGATTAAACTGATGCTCAGTTTAAGAGATTAACTGATGCTCAGCCACTGGTCAATGCTCTGTAAAGATCCCCTTTCACACCCAGGTCCCCTCAACTCCCAGATCCCTTTCAGGAAGACTCCAGGACCTTTTTGTTTTTTTGTTTGTTTGGTTTTTTTTTTACATCATCTATGCAGCAGGCTATGAGGTGGATGGTAGCACAAGGACTGAGCACATTTTCCACGATAGCAACAGCATAAGTCAGCCAGAGCATCCAGGGAATCCCAGCCACCTTCTCTCCCTGKGCATCAGGTTTGCCTGGCCAGCAAGAGAAGCCTGCATGTTCAATTTTATAAATGCAATAAATCATCCTAAAGACTCWGTCATAACATTTTATGCATTGCTAACTTTTATGCATTGCTCTGCATAAGTTTTATGCACTCATTAAGAAATTAAGTTGATAAAAAGTGACCAGATAGGAAGAGGGGGAAAAGGCCAAAAGGTTTGCATGGTGAAATAATGTTTAAGGCCAGACTGGAGCACTTGGAGCTTCAGACAGAGGCACGCTGAGAGTGCCTTAAAGCTTTAATGCAACMACGACTGGAAGGGGAAAAGTACTTMARAACACRGATATTTTACTTATCCAGAGATGATCTTGGGTATCATCATGCCCTATATCTGCATCTGTGCTCCTCAAACTCYTGAAAATCCCATCCTCTTATGACACTGAGGCTCCTGCAGGTGTTGGGTACCCAGATCAAGTGGGTTAAAGGCATTCCTGGTTGAAGCCATGTCAAGAGACAATGACACTGATGGGCTCCCATGTTCAGTGGGCTCTGGGGATGGGTCCACACGAGCACTGAAATGCAGGTTCACATCTCACACAGACTGAAGTGAAAATGKGAATTRTTACTCACTCAGAAGCYGATGTGGCTTTTGCTCATGGTGACRGGRGATCTGAGCTCTAGGAACKGCTGCAGGCTCCCTCCTCTGAGCCCTGCTCAGAGTTCCCTGGGCTGCCCCATCCCATTCCAAGCCAGAGCTTGGAATCTCCATGAGGAAAGTTCTGGCTCTGGAGCAGCTCAATCCAGGTTTCCACCTGCATTAGGAAAAACTGCTTTCTCCAGAACAGGGGACCTCAAAGACAGCAAAACATTTGTTGTTCTTGTGCCCTTCCTGACTATCCCTTAAAAAAAGCAACACCTGGACCATCCCTCCCTGTTGTAGGACTTTGAGCTCAGAGCTAAGGTTTAAGACAGGTAGAGATGATCAAAATGCACCTCTGTGTTGCCTTGAAAAGCAGAAAGAGAAGCTGTCTGGTTTTTTTCTGTGCTCTGGCACCTGTCTCCAGAAGAAATGTAACTTCTCTAGATGCGAGAGTTTGCTCCCAACTTGCCCAAAACAATGCGTTTTGGCCATTCAGCATCTCTATTTTAAATTTATGCAAGCCCCCTGGAAATGGGTAATTCCTCCTCTAAGAGCCTTCTCATCCGTAATTGCTGTGAATGCAGCACAACTCTCCCACCTCTGTTGGTRCAGATTACCAGAGTGTTTCCAGACACAACTCCTGCCAGGTCCTGCTGAGCTTCCCTAATTCCCTTCATCTCTGAAAGCCAGTGTAAATTCACCGGCTGTGGGAACACTACTGCAGCACTGCTAGCATTGGCATGGGGAAAATCCCATTAGGAAGTAAGAAGCTGTTGAAAGAATCTGTGGATCACATGGAGCGACGGCTGGAGTCACTGGCATAATTAGTAATAAATAATCATAAGGAAGACAGCTAGCACAAGCAAGGGGAGAGCAGACCGGCAGTAAAAACAGAGGCACTTGCCATTAAGCTCTGTGATTTTTTTTTTTTCTTTTCCCCCCTCCACTTTGTGGATTAAAATATGTAATTTGTTTTCCCTAATTTGATGTACATTATTATCTTCATTATTACAATTTAACTCCTGGGTTAAAATCCTGCCCTTCTTACTTACTCTGATTGACTTCAATGGTCTACAGAATTTGACCGCTTCCAATTAACGCTATCCACTTGGGTTTCTGCTCAGCACTATCATGCACTGCTAATTGTTTAATAAAATGACTGGTTGGGCATGTGTGTGAGAAACAGGGAGAGACGAAGTGGATCTGGCAGGAAAAAACTTCTCTTTGTGAATAAATGACCTAAAACATTGAGCTTGAAATCTCTAAAAATAAGGAAAATGTATTTTGTAATAAATATATATATATTTACAAAAACTACACCTGGCCTCCTGTGACTGTCAGATCTGAATGGTAGCTCAGTAACAGCAATAAAATGCAGCTTTTAAARTGCCTATATATTAGTCTCAAGTAAAAAGGGAAAAGAAGTATTGTCTATTAAGTGTCAAAAACCCTTTCTTTAACCACAGAAGGCTTGGACAGACTAAGGAAATATTTCATCTGGAAGGGAAATGCTAAAAACTACCCTTCAAATTAYTGGAAAACCTATTATCAAATGCTAAAACCTCTCCTTAAATCCCTGAGTATACACAGCAACAGAGCAGGCTCGGTTCTAAGTATTTAAACCTTTGTTAAGGAAAAGACAACATAAAAAGGGATGCAATCCACCTGCTAATTAGAAACTTTATTTGCTGAGATAGTGTTCATTTGAGCTTTGTAGAACATTTCATTCCCTTTGTAGTTTCAAAATGAGACTACATTTTACTTACGGGGAAATGCAGTTGACTTTTACTCCTCTGTCAATCCACTCGGTTCCCAATGTCTGTGTTAATTTTACGACCCCGGCTTTGGAGGCGTTGTACGCCAACTGCTTCTGTGGGTGAGGGACTGCAAGGGATTCAGAAGGAGAAAATTATTTATTCTTCCCAAATTAAGACAGATCAGGCACTACACAGACAACTCCCTGCATTGAGATGAGTTATTTGCCCTTTTCCCAGGCACCAGGTGAGGAGCAGCAAGAATTCAGCCACCCGAAACACAAAACCCTAAATATGCATTTTGCCRTCTAACAGTTTTGTCTCAGCAGATGGGGTACTGGAAAACAATGGAGAAAATTAAAATAAAGGCATTTAAAAGGTCCCATATTTGGGCAAAGACAAAAGCAATGTATTAAATGTATACAAGCGATATTTGACTCCTCTGAAGRAAGATAAATAATCATATATACACATGTACACCATATACACATATCTGTTTATATGCTTTASACTGTAATACTAATAAAATATATTATATAATTATAAGATAGCAAATAATAATACATCTAACATATATTATGCATTCTATGTTATGTAATATATTAATATTATTTATAATATTATATGTGATAGATAATAYATGATGTGATAACTGAATGTAACGTTAAATTGTTTGATATGACATTACATGATATAATACGATAAAAGTGCTTAACAGATTTTATATAATATATTATATATAGCTTCTTGGAACAAATTATTCTCCCTAATTTTTAAATTATCTATAGTCTGAAGCAAACACATCTTATTATCTAACTGGTGTTTGTGTGAATGTGAACGCAGGTGCATCCCAAAAATTCAGAACACCCACCACTTTCAAAATCTGAAGCTTTTGAAAATGTTTCAGAGATGTCACATGTCAGTCAGAGACARAAAATGATCAGCTTGCTAATTACAATGTTCAAGCTTGTTAGTGCCGAGTGCTCGGGTGGCTCTGCCCCTCTCCAGCTCAGTGAAAGCTACTTAAGGACAAATCCCCAGTGGGTGTAAAGTGCTTTAAACCCACGGGAGTCAATCCAAGTCAGTCCAGGTGTTGGGATTTACACCCACAATGTGTCTCTTCTTGGTCTTTTGTGGCTGCCATTAGGACTTCATTAAACAAATCCAGAGCAAAGCATCAATCCATAATTAGCTCTGTATCAGCACCGAGCTTCACTGAGCAGCTGACTCTGATGGAGGGGGAGTGGGGGCAATCAGGGCTAAATATCAGTACTCACAAAGACAGGCAATTCCAGCCTGTGGGGCTGGATAATATGAACTCTGGAAAAAAGGGAATTACTGGGTTTGTGCCAGGCTCAACAGCCAGACCCCAACTCACAGCATTTTGATTAAAAAAAAAACATAAGCAGCACTGGTAGCTGGCATTAAACTGGTCTTTATAAACCAAGCTGATGCATCAGTTCTGTATCACTCCCACCCATGGCATCCCAAAACACTCACTGCCGATTCTGACTTAAACTCCTGGCTTTGAATATGCCAATGTAAAGGGTGGAAAGACTGAAAACGAGTTACCCAAACTCTGAAAGAGCCAAAAGCACTGCTGCAAACTACTGAGCACGTGAACAAGGACCTTTGCCTTGAACAGAGATRTTTGTGAGCAGATTTAAAGCAYACACATGATGGCAGCAACARTTAGAGGGGTTTTTTYCTGCAAGTGCTGCAGGTTTGCTCAGAATTCAGAGGCCTTTTCCTTGCTACATTTCATACCACGGCCCTCCTCTGCCAGCATTTATTCAGTGCTCATTTTTTGTTCCATCTGAAATAATTTGCATCTTGACCAGCAGAACTGCTGTGCCCTCTGTGTGTGCTGCTGCCCCCTGACGCAGCGCGCCGTGGGGGCTCTCAAAGAGATGTGGAGCACAATTTCTTGATTAATTGCCATGCATCAGCTCCAAGTTACATACAACTTCGGTAGTTAACCTTGTAACCTCCCAAAAGCAGTTCTTTGCTAAACTTTCCAAACATGTCTGTCTGTGATAAATCATTTTGGTGATCCCTCGCTAAGAGGAGAGGAGTTCTGGCACCGGCTCTGCACCTACAGCACATCTGGGTGAGAACAAGCCGCTGCAAGCTACAGGAATCAGCTCCTGATTTGGGGTGGGTGATGAGACAGAGTTATCAAAAGTCCTTCCATGGACTTCTGTCTTTATAAGAATATCTGATGAAGGCAATTAGGAGGATGACATTTTCCTCTGCTGAGACACTCAGCCACTCTCAGTTGGAAGAACTCAAGGAGAAGCCAGCATTGTGAAGTTCTGGGGATGGGTGGGATTTCTGCAGCTAAGCACCCCACACCACCGCCTTTTCCTTTACCTAAGGTGGTCTCTTACASACAGAAAAGCAAATCTGTAACCCTCCAAACTCATACAAAATGGGGCTTGAGATTAAAGTTATGCCTTCAACAGTGTCACAAAAAAATCTGTATTGTTTAAGGCCCCTGGGAAGTGAGGACATCACTCCTGTTCAAGATGGGGATGAATGAGAAAGTGGGAGAAAATTCTGCCAACATTAGCTGTATTATGTTTTAAACACTTTTGTCCTGATTTTGTCTGGAATAGGGTTAGTTTTGTTCCCAGCAGCTGCTGCAGTGCTGAGCTTTGGATTTAGGATGGGAATAATGTTAACACGCTGATGGTTTAGGTGTTGCTGAGCGGGTCTTACTYTAAATCAAGGACTTTCCAGGGCATSATGCTGCCCTGCCAGCAAGGAGRCTGGGGGCACAAAAACCTGGGAGGGGACACAGCCAGGACAGCTGACTCCAACTGGACAGAAGGATATTCCAAATCCCRTGGCATCATGCTGAAAAATAAAACTGGGTTGAGCTGGGAGACAGCCTGGGCATCGGTCAGTGGGTGGTGAGAAACTGCACCGTGCACCACTTSTTTTGCATTTCTTTTATCCTTATYATTATTTGCCCTTYCTTTTCTGTCCTAAYAAACTGTMTTTCTCTCAACCCACAAGTTTTGCCCCTTTTTCCCAAATTCTCTCCCCCATCCTTGGGGGCAGGGAGGGCACTGCTGTGGGGTGATTGCTGCTGATGGTTGTACCACAACAACCTGACACGGCTTTTGCACTTTTGTTTGCTGCACCAGCTCCCAGCCTGACCTTGGAGCAGCCCCATCATGTGAATGAGAGGTGCACACAGAGCAGAGCAGAGCAGAGCAGAGCACTTCCCACTGAAGATATTCAAAAATTACAGCTCTGAGCTACACCTTTGTGAACCGCCGAGCCGCTGCTGCTGGAGCGCGCGCCTGGAATAATTCCAGTGGAATACCAGAATCAAAATGCACATATGCAAAATGTATGCAGCTTATCTTCAATTAATTAAAGCTGATTCTGAGCAGTRTATCTGGGAAAAATCACAAACAAAAACCTCCCTATCCTGCTAAGTGTCTCCTCATTTTCCTGTATCTCTGAGGAAGGACTCAACCTACAACAACAACAAAAAAAATATCCCCTAACTATTTCTAGAAACATTTCATACTATGCCAGTTGGCCAACATACTTAAATAACCAACCAACCAACATATTTATTTAACATTCAGCAGATGGACATGATATGAACATCGTGGTTTTCAGTCGTAGTTTCATAACTACTAGATTTTTTCAATGCCAAGATTCAAACAGGTTCAGAAGGTAAAYGCTTCTCTCCATCTCTTAACTTCTGGCCTAGCATGCATTAACTTTCCCTGACATTTAAATGCATCTTGGGATGACCCYTCCAGGCTGCTCCCAGGGCTGCTTTCCAATGTTCATTCCTGTTGCAGGATTGGTGCTGGCCTCAAATGAATCCCCAGGTGGATCTCTGGACTTGGCTCTCCAGCCGAGGAGGTGCTGGGGATGGGATGGATGGGAATGGCATCACCTCCCAGCTCAGCAGAGCTGTGCCAAGCCCCGATGGAAAAGCTGGAAAATGCCTCTGCCTAAGCAGAGCAGACCACTGCTGGGCTGCAGCAAGGCTGGGAGCTGCCTGCCAAACCAGCAGAGCCCTGGCTGGTACCAATTCCCAGAGCTTCCCAACTTTCTCCAGGATGGACTACCTCCCAGGAAAATTTGCTTTGTGACAGTGACATGGATGGTGACAGCCCAAGCACAGACCAGAGCCCAACTGCTCAGAGCAGAGCAGGAAACCCTGCGGTATTTGAAATTTAAAGCCCCACAATTTTTTCAGAACTAYTTTCTTGGGAAAGCTACTTTCTTTACAAAGCTGGGCTGGAGGGATGGTGTTTAAGCATAAGTAAAACAGCTGGTAAAGACACTTGAAAAAAACATTAACAACAACGTTATAAATGGATTTTTGAAGAACCATTTAAAGTTACTGTGCAATAAACTGAGTAGAATGTCATAGAATGTCAAACTGGGCACAGTAAAAAYAAACGTTATTCCGAAGGAAAATAAAAAGACTGCATATTTATGTAACATTCAGCAGATGGACATGATATTAATACAGGGGTTTTCAGTTGTACTTTTATAGCTACTAGATTTTCTTGCCTAGCTTGGCAACCCAAGGCACCATTTGATTTTTGGATTTGGACAATGCTGCAACAGATGTCCAGACCAATAAAATAAATTCCTAAAGGGCTATGCTTAATTTGTGTAATTGATCAATTTTTGTTACATGGGCTTCAGCTCAGCAGCCCTCCAGATTAGCTCAGCAGTAGGGATTTCATTCCATATGTTACAATGGTTTATTGGGGCTTTTGATGGCACTGCTGATTCAGCAGCACTGCTGCAGGCACCTGTTGGCAGTGGGAATGTGATAAAAAACATGGGTGCTGGGGCAAATACTGGCACAAAAATCTTTTGGGGTGGCTTGTAAGCATCTTGAGGGTTCAACTTCCCAAATTCTGCCAAGGAGTTTTGCCTGGAGCAGCGTGGAGGGAAGCAGCACCTCTCCCATGGGATCCCTGCACCAGAGCTGGAGAAGGTGACTCCGCCTTTTCTATAAAAAGTGATAAGTGCTCTGAAACATCGAGGAYAGATAAATGTTGAAAAATGATATCAATAAAAATTCTGTAGTACATTTCCTCTAATATGAAATGTCAGTGATTTACTCCTTCCCAATACAGGTTTAATTGATTCAAATAGCATCGGCAGTAATTAAAATATGGATTCTGAAGCACAACTGTTAGCTCTCATCACTCACCTATTAAACTTGCCATAGATGCTGTGTTAATTATCTTCCCATATCCTTGATTCAGCATAATGCGGCCTGCAGCCTGTGACAGAAATTAAAGGAAAGACCAGTGACCCTTTCTGTGATTGTGCTAATAATGACATGATAATAAATTAGTCTTCACTTTTCGGAAGAGTTGATGTGCTAACACATTTTTTTTTAAGCACTTGGTATAAAAACTTGGTATAAAAATGGCTGATGCAGGAAAAAATCCCATTGCCATTTCACACCTCTTCACTGTTGGCAATATTTTTTTTCAAAATAATCACTGATGTTGGGAATTCCTCCATCCAAGACTTCTGGTTTTCAAATAACCACCCTTCAAAAATTTTTTGACCATTCTTTGACCTGATGCCTGGGCTTGGGTAGCCAACGAGTATCAGCTGTATATCAATTTTTTAATATATTGACCAAAATCTGTAGTTGATATAAAGCAAATCTCTCCAAAACTCCACCAAAACTAGGACCAATTCTATTGTGACAATTATGAATAAAATTTAATTAGACCTTGAGATAAGACTTAGAAAATTATTTCCCATTTGCAAAACAAGCCAGTGCAGCATTTCACACTTACTTGGCAGCACAAAAACAACCCTCGTAAATTAACATTAAAAGTTTTGTCCCATTCCTCCAGGGAAGTGTCTTCGCTTGCAGAGTTCAGGTTGATCCCTGCGTTGTTGCAGGCGATGTGAACTGTGCCCCAGCGAGCCACGATGGCATCCACCATCCTCTGCACATCCTCGGGCTTGCTCACATCTGCTGCCAGGGCAAGGCTCTTAATGCCTGCATCGAAACCAGAGTGATGGAGTCAGTGCAGGAATTCAGTGGGAAATGAAAAAAAAAAAAAATCTATTCTATTATTATTATCATTATTATAAAAATCTATTATTGTTTTTTAATTCATATATATTTTTATGGCTGTATTTATATACATAAATATGTATTTATATATATATATATATATATGTATTCCACCTTAATTAATTTCTCCACAAATCGTAGCAAAAGATGTGTTTGTTCGTGCAATGCCAYCATAAAGTTGCTGACTGGAGCGCAGGTGTGGGAGCGGAGGACGAACCTTGGAACACTGCACCATCTTCTGTCCAAACCCTCAACTGCAGCTTCCCCAGCTCTAGAGATGTTTTCCTTACACCGGGTCCCCTCCAAAAACGCTCTAGAAATCAAATTAATTTGCCCCAAAATGCTCTCTGGATGAATTACAGCACGCAGAGAGCTGAGAGCCTCAGACAAAACCAACCCAGTTCCAGGTGGGAGTAAAGTGGGAATACCTGCACAGGTTTGGGGGTCACGGTGCCTGGGGTTATTTATTGCAAACCTCACTGCCAGAATAAGGCAAATATTTGGAAGTTAGGATATTTAACAAATTTGAAACATGCAGAAGTTTTGCTTTTTGCCCTGAAAATAACCCAGCCACTGACTTTTGCACCAGTGCATTAATAACTTCATTTAATTTATTATAAAAATCAGCTTTAAATACCCTTTTATTAAACAATATAAGAAGCCTGCTGATGCACCTGATGCCACTGGGATTATATCCATCCTCAAAGCCAGACAAAGCTACACCAGTAAGGACTGTGGTGAAATGGGTCTTAATTAAGGAAGGAAGGAAGGAAGCAGCCACTGGGGTTGGACCATGGATCAGCAGTCTGGGTAGGAAGTTACAGCTGTTAAAGCGAGATTTTTTTACTTCTGTATAAATGACAGATTTGTTACACATTGGTCCTTCCAATCGTTCTGATAAAATATTTAAAAGAAGGGATAAGCCTATTCTAGAATAGGAGACTCTGCCAAGATGAAGCTGAGATGGAGGCACCCAGGAAAGCAAGGCAAAGCAGGAATTGCCCAGAGGTGGGTGAATAAAATGGCAGAAAAKAGRAAAATCATGGAAAAAAAWTCATGGAAATTCATGGAAAATCTCCTCATCTTCAGGAGCCTGTCAGAGTGCACAGCCTGAGGTGGTGCCACTCTGGGGTGGGGGACGTGGGAGCTCCTGTCCCCTTCAGCAGTGAAACAATCCTCTTGATTTCCACGGCAGAGAGAAAATACAGACAACTAAAAAATGAATGCACGCTCTGCCACCAAACAAGACCTCTCATTTTATCACAGGTTTTATGCTAAATATGCTGAAAGAACCAGAACAGCCCCACGGCCCCTGTTGTTCCCCCTAATTGTTATCAAGACAAGTAAGGCGCAGGGAGTTGCTGCAATCTTTCTTTTTCAATTTACAGACAGAATGGGTGCGAGCGTGTTACTAATGGTAACAGAAAGACTCTTCACCTGCCCTCCAACCCTCACCCCGTTTAGAGCTTCATCTCATAGGTCAGTTCATAAAAACGAGACAAAAGGTGCCACGTGTGAGTGCCTAGAGAAGAAGCAGGGAAGCCACGCTCACTTCAAACCAGAGTCCCACACTCGACCTTCATCAATTCAGCTCCTGCACTCTGAGAGGGGGAGGAAACCACTTTCTGTCTCTYCACTGTCCCCCAAAACCACCTGTTCAACAGAATAAATAAAACAAATCACAGGAAAATAGCTTCAAATCTCCAGACACGACCCGAGGCAGGGAACCCAGCCCAGCACCGCGCTGCCGGGTGTGTGACGGGGCCAACGCTTCTGTGGGGCTCCTGGAGGCACTTTTGGGATGAGAGGGGCACCAGAGGGGCCCAGTGGCTCCATGCTGAAGGAATTCCTGTGCCCAACTCGCCCGAAGTGTCCTTCTGCAGGGACACACACACGTCCCCTGCCACGGGCTTCGTCTGCGCTCCCTCGCAGTAAATGGAAGTAACACGTTGCACGCAGACGAGAAGATCAGGAGTGACATTGCACAAGGCATTTGCATAGTTTACAGTGAAAATGCACATTTTAAAAATCCCATCAGACTAATTCTTCCCTTAGGGTAGAGGCAGTGATTCCCCCTGAAGACAGAGGTGTGTGTAGTGGAAGGTAACCCTTAGGATTTTTTGGTTGTGTTTCATCATTTTTGGTTCTTCTGTCAGGATCCATTAGCGACTGTTGAAAAAGGTATTCACACAGGATCTAAAAACAAAGACCCCTGTAGCCAAGGGATGTACACCCGAGCTGTCTAGCAAAGCTAAAGCTGAGATCACAGGCGTTCTGATGTTTAAAACTCATCATGAAATGATGGCACCATCCCAAAAGGCAGCAAAGGGCTCCTTGGTGTAAGAAGCAGAGCAGCTCTAAGCAAGCTAAGCGAAATGTTTTGAAAAAGTATCAGTATGGGAATGACTTGGGGCACTGAGCTTCCAACTTTGAGTTAGAGATCTACAGCCATAGAGGGGGGAAAAAAATCACAGCCCCTTTGTCCTTATTACAGCAGGAAAAATACGTATTAATGTTATGATTGCTTCAATTTACTCATGTGAATATTTTGAGAGTAAAGCTAGCTGAACCTTTTTGTCAAAATTTATTTCCAACAGAGCATGATTCTTCTTTGAAGCCAAAATGTTTCATGGAAACATTGATTTCAACAAAAAGTTTTCAAGGGAAGGCTTCTGAGGTCCAGGCTAGACTCTCTAGTTACCTCTGGAGAGAAAGAGATTGAAAACCTGACCTTTTCAGATCCTTTCCAAAAACGGGCATTTGGATATAATTCCCTTTCACAAAAGCTTTACAAAGTTTGGGGGCTGTTCCAACAGGGAACGACAATAAATGTGAAACCTCAAAACCCATCATGAGATGGAAGAGACGTGCCCTGACCAGCTGCACTGGTCAAATTGATAGATAATATTTGACCTCAAAGGATAAAGACGTGTAAAGAGTGAGAAGTGAGATTTTTCTTTACTTTAGACTGCAATAATATTTGCTACGCCTCGTGACCTCTCCGACCGCATTTTGGAACAGCCCCCCACCTCCTCCAGCGCTGAAGGAGCAGAGATGTAGGACAGCTATTGAAGGATGGATGATCAAACTCCTGCTGAAAATGCCCTGGAGATGAGTTAGGTTCATTTTCCAATAAGCTGTCAGCATCCAAAGCCTTGTGGCTCTCTCAAGCAGCCCATTTGTACCCGAATAGCTCTGCTTGATATGCAGGAGCTCACAGGGAAAAAAATGTCCAAAAGGCCRGTTAAGGTGCAGGGCACAGCCACTTTGTGCCAAAACCATATGGCTCCCRTGCACAAGAGAGTGAAAAGATTCAGGGAAAGGACTGGATGACTCAAGAATTTGTAATAGGAGCTGGACACTTTCTATTCCAGGTTGTAATTTGGGGTCAGAGCTTTAACCATTGCGCTGACACTCAGCTCAAAGCGTCTCCTGCTTACCAGAGCTGGGATTGTGCAGACAGGGATGTTTTCTTTTAAATGTTCTCTGGGCAGGCTCAGGAAAGTGTCAAAGTCAGAATGACACCACTCCTCACCCCTTCCTGAGACTGGGTAAGATAAATACACCAGCAGGAGCTGGTTTTGCTGGAGAATATGGTTTCTAATGGCYCGATCCCTTGCAGAAGCCAGAGAGGAAACAAATACTGGTGACTTTATCCAGATGGGAATGTGAAAATTTCCTGGGTAAATCTCCATCTCTAAAGACAATGAAGTACTGAACTTCGAAGAAGGCTCAAGTGCAATCCCAAAAAGGAATTATAAAATGAGTAATACTTCCTTTTTTCATCATTAAAATTATATTTCCAGTTTTCTTTTTCCCCTTTACAATTGCAGTTTAGCACGGCGCTAGGGGGAAATTCATTTTTATGTTACATTTTCTGKTTTTACTGCTAAAACAGAAGTGGCTTGTTGAGGATTTTACCTCTTATTTGGGAYTTTACTTATTATGTCTATTAGTACTTTGTTCCTATACCTGACCTTGCATTCATGTTTGAAAGAGGCCTTGAAAAAGGATTTGTCTTCAATTGGAGGGGACACTGAGAGGTTCAGAATGACCATACAAGCACCTTATTTTGGTGTTCTGGCTCATGGCACAGACACCAGGTCTGGAAGAGGGGGTAGGTGAGTTTGTAGGCTGATCTGTCACTCACAGCAAAGCCCGAGGTGCTGCACGATTTGCTCTGAGCATCACCATCTCTGCTCAGTGCTGGTTGTAAGATCTCACTTGTACCAGGTGCCCCTTCTCTGCTCCTGTCAGCCACAGCTCACTGCTCTCGGCACTTTTGGAGAGGAATTTTGTTTGGATCACTCGGCCTCTCTGTTTGAGTTTMTATTGATCAATAACTCTTGCAAACGCTGCGATATCGATGGCTGCTGGGACAGCACTGACAGGGCAGGAGAAGCTTTGTGCTCACAGCATGGAAATCCTCTGTTCTAACCCATTCCCCACCAGGGCTGGATGGGAGGGGATTGCACAGCAGAGAAGGGTCAGGTTTGAAGAAGAAAAGCTGCCGCATCACAGCGCCCATGACGCTCAGTGCTTACCTTTGAGGCTGAGCTCGCACRCCACCGCTTCTGCCTTGGCCAGGTCCAGGTCCACAACAGCCACYTTGGCTCCAGCCTCCCCCAGGGCATGAGCAAAGGCTCTCCCGATGCCCTGCCCTGCCCCTGTGACATAGGCCACCCTGCCATCCAAACGCAGCCGCTCCAGGATGCGGCGCCGCTGACAGCCCCAGAAAACGTCATCCCTCAGCACTCCTTCCTGAAACAAGAGCACAGAGCACAGTGAGGGGCAGAGCTCACTGACAGCTGCGAGGGACTCTGCTGCTGAGGAAAGGAAGGGATCCATGTCTTCTTGGCCCATTAACACCAAAAAGTATCGCTAATTCAAGCCAAAAAGCTCCCTTATCTGTACAGACAKTAATATCAAATAAAGCACTGAAGTGCCAGACAATGGAGCAGAAGGGCTTTGGGGAGATGCTCCAACCACTCCACTTTCAGGAGAGAAGGGATAGCATTTCCTAGCTTTGTTTCCCATAGGAGATGGATTTGGTACAAAGTCTGAGAAGTCGATTGATTAATCAACCAGTTATTTCATCCCCTGAATGAAATATTGCCCAGKGCCCAGSTGAGAGCTAAGAACAAGGTTCCAARAGYAGGATTTGGGTCAAGTAGAGTGMAATCAAAATATCTCCACAAGGCTGGTGTGCAAATAAAGATATCAGCCAATAACTTAAACCAAGCTGTCATCTAATCAGCTGCCATACATCATTTCCCCCTGACTGGAACCAAAATGTAAAACACAAGATGTTTAAAACRCTGAGTTTGAAATGCCAGGAATTACCAGTGGGTGTAGCTTTGGGAGTGCTCAGAAACTGCAAAACAACCGGGATGTTTGGGTCTGGCTTTACTGAGTTAGGCCATAGTGATTCCAGTGGGAATTTCATAGCAGCTGGATGATGCCCACTACATAAACCATCGTTTCCATGGAACAAGCAAAATCCAAGGCCATGAAAATATCCAGCTCAGAGAGCACAGAGGGCATCCTGTGCTGCCTTTGGGCAAAAAAAAGATGAGCTACTCCACAAATATTGTACTGGTCCTCAGCTCCATCTTTCCTCACTCCTCAGCGAGGGAAGGATGGGAGGGCACCAGGCACAGACACCTGGGGAGCAGCACACCACCCACTCCAGAGATTCATCACAGGACCAGCTGATCTAAAAGATCTTCCAAGGAATCAGCATTTAACAGCTTTAGTGTAACCCTGGACTGGTGAGACTAAAAGGTGCCAAGCCCTAAGGAGTCAAGTCCATGATCACAGCACCACATTTGGGTTCTCACCACCAAACCCCCAAAAATTTTTTTGTCCTTGTCCTTGGCAGAGTCAAATTTTTTCCCAGAAATGCTCACAGAGAGGAAATGCCCACCTTGGATTCRATCACTGCATCTGGAGGCACAGGGCTCCTTCGGATGATGCTCAGTCCATTCTGCACAGGTAAAATCACCTGCAAACAGAACACAGCTCTCAACTGCTTTGCACCTGAATTTCTGCCACMCAGATTCCACTGATGTGAAGCCCTCAGGCCACAGGAGCTTTTCCCCAACTCCTTTTCTTTAGCTGAAATTCTCTCTAACACAAATGCCAGGCATTTGTTTTTGTTCACATTCCTCTTCCAAGCTCATTGCTTACACAAATACCAGGGGAAAAAAAATGCAACCTTCTCTCTCCAGTTTCTAAAGCCACAACATATTGTTTGTGCATCCTATTACTTTTGRTTATTTTTCTCTTCTGCTGGAGCAGGACTTTGCTGACTCCTGTTGTGCTGGTGATGCCCTGCAGCCCCCAGAGCCTTCAAAGCAGAGTGGTGATTCTTCAGTTGTGCTGTAGAGCTGATTATTCACTCTTAAGAGCTCTCCTTTTATCTTGTCTTTAACACTCCAGAAGATGCAGACAGAGCAGGGACCACTCCTGAATATAGAAACTCATACCTAGAGCTCGAGTGAGGTGAATTATAATAAAATCTGAGTTCATTTTAGGTCCTTTGGATAACGGCACCAACAAAAGAAACATTTTAAAGAGTGCTTTGYAAAATCCATAGATACAGCACCACGGGCACCTTAACCAATGGCATTGCACTAACCTGCTCAACACGAGGATCTGAATTAATCACTGAATTTAATTTTCTGACAGCTAGTACATTTTCATCTGATACRTTCTCCAGGTAGACTTGTCCTTTCATGAGTGTATTCTCCACACAGATCACTGCATCCATTCTCAGCAAGTGGTTATCCATGACAAAGCTGTAGTACTGAACAGCATTCCTTTGATCAGCATCAATAAAGACTATATCAAAGTGCTCGTCCTCAGCATGTAATGCCTGGGGRAAAAAAATTATGTTGGAGAAAACACTAATTATTTACCTGAAAGTTTAAAGTGCTGCCATTAATGTGTCCTTTATTCAAATCCCAAGCCAGAGGAAAACTTATTCTCTTGAGGTAACACTGCTAGAATTGCTTCTGGAGATCTTGGGAGTTTTCCACACTCTGCAAACAATCATTCAGCAACAAATTCCTGAACTTCYCAAGGATAATCAGGATATAAAAGAGGGTGGCTCATCTCAGATTKTGTTGTTGAAAGTCACACTAGAAACATCTGCCTACCTTGACTCAAAGCAAATTGATCCATCAGGGCAAGACTGGCATCAAAACCTGCCACTGAGGGGCTGCAATAAGTTCTCTCTTCTCAAAAGAGTAACTATCAACAAATTRAAGAGTGGCAATTATATCAGTCTGGGGGAAAAAAAGAGGCATAAGGCAGATCTGGGAATTGCAAACTACTGTGTCCCACTTCAGTAGCAGGAAAAGRGTTGAAATCCCAATTAATAATAGAATTATAAAGCACATGAAAGAACAGGTCACGATAGAGATAAAGCAGCACAGCCCCTGTGAAGGAAAATGATGTTTCTTTAATCTAAAAAAACGCTTTGGATGGCTCAGCAACAGAGAGGATAAAAGAACTGGCTGCTATCATCTAATTGGATTTTCAGAAATGTGGCACACCTTCCCTCCAAGCAGGCTGCTGATGATAATGTATAAAAGTGTTGATGGATGACCAGATGGGAGCCTTTACAGCCTTCTCCTGTGGCAGTTAATGCACTCGCTGCCCAAGAGGCTGCTATKGAATATTTCAGATTCCATCTGGGACTATTTAACTGCATCTGCGTGCGTTGCAGTGAAACAACAGCTCACCCACCCATCTCGGCGAGCAGAAACGCTTTCAAGTCCTCGCATTTCAAGGGAAAAGAGACACAGTTCTGTTTTCCAGAACTCACCATCTCTACCAAAACTTCTAACAGTGCTTCTTGCATCCAGATTTCCCTTTTTTGTTGGGAGACATTGAGCACATCGAGTGATAAACCATCCCTTGGGAGGTACCAGCAAAAGCATTGACAGCATCAACAGAAAGTGAAAAACTGGCTTGGTTTGGGGAGYGAGGTTGATGGCTCCCAAACAGAGATTTCAGGAGCCTTTCTGAGGCAGGGATTGTGTGGATCAGAAAAGGAAACAGGGGAAGTGGATCAGTGAAGCTCTGAATTCCTCTGTCAGGCAAACTCGTGTCTTTGAGAGCTTGTTAGTGGTGAGGGAATTAAGCTTGGGTAGTCACATTTAACTGCAGATGCTTGATAGCACAGAAACTCTGCCAAAAGCATTCATGAGCCCACATTTAGGACACCTTTTGATACCCCAGTATAATGAAATAAGACCTTAAGGCCAAATATATGCTGGTTTATAATAAATGYAGCAGAAACTGGGACATCTGGATTCCTGGGATTCATCCTTTCATTTCATGGGCAGTAAGAAAATCCTGCCCTGGCTCCCTCTTGAGCCATATTGGTGGAAAATGCAGGAACATTTCTGCTACTGTGGAAGAGCATCTCATGGCAGGTTGCACCTCAGTCAGCCTGTCCAATGYAGATACTTCAAGAAGGGTCAGAAGATGAAATCTGGGTGGAGGAGCCTGTCAGGAAGAGAGATTAGAGGTCTCACTCCCCAGGGAGAAGAGCCAAAGCCACATTCAAGTAATTATCATGACTTATCACTACTTTCTGACTTGTAACCTTCCCGGGTGGAGGAGGTGGGGGGCAGGCATTCAGAAACAGATGTGCCCATGGCTGAACATATGTTCCTCCTGCTCCGTGGGATGGCTCCCTAATGAAAAAGAATCTCACTTTTATGCTCTGACTTCATTAGGTCCATATGGAGTTGTGCAGCTCTCTGGATATTAACTGGACTCCTCATTTCAGCTTTCCTTCCATACTGCCCACCTGCTGACAGCTGATCTCCTCYTAATCTGTCTTCTGACACAGATAAACCACCTTTTAACATCCCAGCATCCATCCCAGGAGGGTGCCTGGGCTGGATGTGCCCCCAGGGCACACCTGGCTTGTCCTTGCAGTGCCTGGGTGTGCCAGGCCATGGTTCCTCAGGCATTTCTCCTCTGCCACTTCACTGAGTCCTGAATRGGCAGCCAGAAGGGTCATTTGGGCACGTTTTCTGTGTTCCAGACACGTAAAGAATGGCCTGAGTCTGTGCTGCACCTGCCATCACTTGAGCTTCTTGTCTCCACAAGCTTCAAAATCGCTGCTGAGTTTTCCATAGTTAGCTAGAAACACCTCCAGGGCTATAAAAGGAATGCATGGAATTCTTTGAACCAGCCTTGCCTCTAGAGCAGCCTCTGCCCAGCAGGAAAACAGCCCCAGGGAGAGCAAAGTGCCCTTTTTCCTGGAGCCTCTTGGCCAGCAAAACACGGGTGGGATTGACCACCCTGGCCCTCCCAGCACCAACTGACCTCACAGCACTCTGGAGATGCCWCTGTCCTCTGCTTGAAGAGAGGCAGAGCCCAAATGCCTCCAACTKCGAGGAAAGCTGAGATCCAGAAGGAAATAATCTGCCTGCAAATATCCTGCTGAAACTAATTTCCTGAGTGTTTACAGGGCAATCCCWGCTCCTTGCTACAGAGTCATCCTGGATGATAACAGATGGCAGAGAGAGTTTTAATTCAGAGCAAACTTGGCTAAAATTAATGCTTTTGCTTACAGTAAGACATTAACTTCCTTCTGGATTAAAAAAAAAAGTGTAACACTGCATTCCATCAGGGAGATGCACCAAAATGACCATGAGAAGGGCACAGCAGCACTGCTGATGGATAAGCAAAGGATCAGGGAGAGGATATCCCGAATAAAAACATGAATGAATCTTCTGCCAAAGCTCAGACAAAACCCAATTGGAGCCCTGAGTGGAGACAACACCGTCACAAGGCACACACAAACTCAATCAGAAAAAAAAAATAAAATAAAAAAAATAAATAAAAAAAAAGACTTCCCAACTCCTTTGATATGGATCATACAGTCAGCATATTTGTAAAAAAGATGTACTCAAAACTTATTACCTTTCCCGTGCCTTGTTCTTCACCTAAATGTAATAGCAATCCATCCTTGGGGCGCCCAGAATACATGAAAAAGTAGGGTTTCCTTTTAAAACACCATCAGAATATTTTACTGCGTGTGGACATACACTCTTGTTACTCCTAAACGCTATTCTATCGAGTACAGTTTATATTCACCAGCAAAGCCAAATCTCTGGGGAAGCCAGGGAGGGAATGCAATTTCTAGTAATAACAGCTCACAACAGTGAATACTATCCACTTATCCCCACAATTTCCAGCTATTTTGGACTCCTTTCTGAATTAACCTTTCATATCAAAAGGAGCAATTCTAGAGCACACTAGAGACTCCGACACAATTTCATGCATAATTTATTCACTCAGTTCAACATTAAACGCAGAGTCCTTGACTTTGTCAAGGTGGATTCTGTTGGCAGACTTCACAAGCAGCAAAACAGGAGAAATGAGATCTGCAGCTCAACCTCTTCACCTATTCTGCCTGCTAAAAGGAGGGAAAAAAGAAGAAAGCAAACCCTGACATGCTTCCACAATGCCCTGCAATCAGCAGAATCGGCTGCAAACACCGTGTTATTTTTTTTTTTTTTTTATGCTGCATTTTCAATTTTAAAATGGAAGGATCAAAATAATGGATGGGAATAATTTCCTGATAGTTTTGCATTCCCTCCAGACTCAATCCCACATCCATTGTTCATCAAAAGTCCACTGGGAATTGAGGGAAGCTCTTTGTGCAGGATCAGGCTCTTGCTGGCAGCAGATCCATGGCAAGGCACATTATCCAGGCACAGCTCAACAGAGCTCAGGCTTAAAGACTTTGTTGGGAAATGTTTATAAAGCTGGCCCAGCACATGTCGARCAGGTCACTAATTCCCACTGAGGACAGCTTTTCCTGAGACTGAGCCCACAGAAAATCTTCCCCTCGGTCCACATTTTATAATATTTTGAAAAATTCCTGAGGCCCTTGGGCACAGAGGGCTGTGTGATGATCTGTGTGAGCTCTGTGCTCTGGTGGGACCTGACCTGTGGGCAAGGTGGATTTTTATCATCGTGCTTTCCAACACCAGATGAACCCCACACCAAATGCAACCCCTGGGTGGAATGGTTTTCCACCAGAAGGGAGAGATCCTACACCTCGTGGCAGTTTGGACATGCCAAATCACAACTCCATGCAGCAGGAAATGAATGCCCTGACAGTAGTCAACTATGGATCACAGGACATTTTCATGCTCTGAAAGGGCCAGAGCAGTGAGGTAAATCCTACTCCCAAGAATTGTACTGCTGCAAGGATTTGAAGAGAAGCAGATAAATAGAAATCCTGCCCTGTTGCACTCGGTTTAGAAGCAAAATCCAGCAGATGAAAATCATCAGACACTCCAAAGAGCAAGGGGTGGGTGACCATCTCTGCCCTCTCCAAAGGGACAAGAATGACACCTCGGGCTGCAGACAAGGACAGCCCTTGGCAGAGCTTGTTCCAGCTCTTCAGAATGTCACTGTGCTCTTCAGCAAATGTCAGCCAGCTCTGCTCTAGAGCAGCCTCCCCACAGAGCAGGGGGGACAGAAATGTTCTCCAGGAAGCTGAGCTGTGAGAGCCCTGCTGTGCCACCCCTCATTGATCCCTGCCTTCCCTGCCCAGTCCTCCTGCCTTTCAGCTGCCCAAGGGGAGCTCCCTGACCCCTCTCCAACCTAAAATGGTCATCTGGGGAGGAAAAGGCACCGTGCTGTCCACAGCCCGAGCCTCTTGCACAAATTCAGCTGGGCAAACCACAAGAAGCCCAAAATGCAAAGGCACCAGAGATGCCACAATTCATTGCTTCAGCATTTACAGACAATCCTGACCGTCCTGACAGCAGTGACAAAGCAGCTGCCACAATGAGCAGCAAAGGTTCAGAGCCCAGTGCACAAACCCTGCACAGAGAGGTGTCCCCATGCTGGGCTCTCTCCTGCCAAACACGAGCATCTCTGTTCCCAACAACCCCCAGAGGTTTTTGAAGTCCCAAACACCTGCAGAACTGGGGTCAGGACGTGCCTTCATGTTGCAATTGGAGGATAAAAAATCAATTGCAACATTCTGTTTTAAGGATTTAATTTTCATGTCTTTGCTCCCTTCTTTAATCTCTACACAGCATGTACTCTGCCTGCCTCTAGATATTTTAATTCAGTCACAGTAAGTCAGTTGCACAGAATGGGCACTAGAGAGCAACAGCAATTCAATTAATTTCACACTCACTGCGGGGAGCTGGGATTTTAAATGCTGCACATTGCAGGTGATCTGTAACATTCCGTTTATTCATACACTTGCAAAGCTCTTTGTTTCTTTCTTATCAAACTTGGAGGTCACGGAAACCAGAGGTCAGAAAGCTCCTGGCCATTTCATTTTAGGAATAAATATGGTGCCTGCTAACGCAAATAAAGTTACAATCAAGCTCASACTGACACATCCAGATTGAAAAGGGAATCAGATCAAATTGATTTGTATTAATAATGGAAAGGCTATTTAATGAACCTGGTATGGGCATCACCTGGCTCGTGCTGGATCCTCAGCAACGTCCTGRAGATCCATAAACTGGAATTAAATGTGAGCTGCCAGCAATCATAGGATTTCTCTTTCTTGGGATAAAGTCAAAAGTCAGAATGAAACAGGCACAGCTAATGCATTATTTTTCCGAGGCTTATCACATTGCTCTGGAAGTGAGAAAGTGGGGTCTAATTCCTCTTTTGGAGAGTTTGCAGCAGGAAAAAAAATAGTGAGAGGTTTTGGCAGAATTATAAACTTCTCCAGGACTTTCCCAATTCTTGTGAACATTGGGAGCAAGCTCTCCTCCTCAAAAGCTGGCTCAGAGGGTACAGATCAACTCTTCCTGTTTTTTATATTTGGAATTAGGGACCCCAAGCAGAGCCAGCCCACATTGAATTAACCTGCCATTGCAGCCTGTCAACCTACGCTGAGAGCCTGTRATTCCTCTGATCAAAAAGCTGCAGGATTTTAGTTAAAAGGGAGAAAAACTGCCTTGTRTGTGACAGAGCTGCCCCATCASACACTGAGGATAAGAAATAACCTCRGWGCAGGAGTGTRTTCACACATYTRCACRCAAAGCAGGGCCACCACGCAGCACCKTGTGGGCAGAAAACAGAAAACTGCCTGAAATTCCTCCCCAAAACTCCCCTTCCACCTTTACCTCCAAGGTGTCTGCCACTGGTCCCACTCTCATGCTGATCTTTTTGCCATCTGAGGAATAATCAAACGCTTCCTGGCTGTTCACACCGAGGTACGGCGCTTCTGCACACGCGAGGATTTTGCCATTGTCTGGCAATTCCTCTGCAATAGCAAGGATGCTGCAGCCTTTAATCTTGCCAATTAATAAAATCTTCCTGGCTCTGATCATATGGACAAACATCCTAAAAAGCYGGCCTGTGGAAAGACAAGGATGAAAATTTGAAAATGAAACCGTGAGAAAGGCCATACCCTGTTCACGATGAAAATTAGATGTGCCTTTTAAGTGATCATTAAAAAAAAGCCCCTAATCTTAAAACACTCTCAAATAAGGGTTTAACAACAGAATCTGACAAAATTTCATCTAAAATGCAGCTAAAAGACAACAGAATAAAAGGACTGGTTTTAAATGCAGAACCTTTATCATCAATGCTGCTATTGTTCAAGTGCTTGTTAAATAGTGCTTGAAATATTGCATATTTTAACATTYCCCCCATATGAAAATGGCTTTGAGATGGCTCCATATTCTTTCTGGAATCCAGTATTAAAAAAAAAAAAAAAAAAGAAAATCACTACATTACCTTGCATTTGCTCTTAGAGTCATTATCCCTAGACAGCACCATCATTTAAGAAATTTATCATCAGTGGTGTCCTTCGAACAATGTATTAGTGTAATAGATTATAAGAGTACTTCACTGGGATGATGTATTACCCCAAAGATGAGAACATCTGGGGAGAATGGATTTGGGAATAGATTTAGTGTAATAGGCTTTAYAGGGGATACAAACCTGGGAATTGCTACTGCTAAAGGGGCCGTGCTTGGCCACAGCCACCTCCACCTCAAAAACCACATAAACCCCTTTTAGAACCCAAAACAGAAGTATTTTTCCCTTCCAAGAAGGGTGATGGTCTCTGCTGCTCACTGAGGGATGGGGCTGACACATTTGAGAATATAGGGGTACAGGAGGGCACCAGGAAAACCCAGGCCACAGGAAAAGCAAAGCACACAGAAAGCTTATATCTTTCTTTTCAAGTAATTTTCCTCATTTTCTGAGCTTTTCCATGGCATTCATCATCTCCTCACTCAAAAAAAAAATAAAAAAAAAAAAAAAAAAAAAAAAAAAAAAAAAAAAAAAAAAAAAAAAAAAAAAAAAAAAGCAGAGGGTGATAACTTTAATTTCAGGGACAACGTTTACACCAATCTGGTGCAATTTTACCCAACTTGCCATTCAAAGAGTCAGAGGCACGTGCTTCCTGCAGCCCAACTCTGCTGTCACCTCCTTCAGCATCCCCTGGGATGGGGGCAGGTGAAGTTTTTCTGGAAAAAAAAAAAAAAGGACATTTCAATATTATGATAACAACCAAAATCTGAGAGTCCAGCACAAAGAGCAGCAGCCAAGAGGGAACCCCTGGAAAAGCTCCATTTGTGCATGACCATGAAAAATTAGCCCAGAAGCATCTCAAGTATCCTAAATTCCAGTCCTAAGAGGACCTGGAAATAAGCAGATCTCAGTGCTGGCAGCAACCCCAGCCCCAGGGGCTTGGGAAGAAAGGGTCATGGAGTAAAGGAAAGAGTTCCCCACTGTTCATCCCAAMAAATTCCCATTTTCAGCTGGTTCCAGACAGGCCTCTATCTGCTGGTTTGGAGTAAATTACTCTGGTTACCCTGGCCTGGTTTTGTTCAGTTCTTCAATGATTATTTTTGTTTCAGACAAAAATAAAGTTTCRTAGCAGAACAGAAGAAACGATACAAAATCTAAATTTTTTTACAAGACAGGAAAAAAAAAACAAAACATTTTTCCTCAAAGTGCTCAGACAAGCAGGGTTTCTTCAGATGCCATTTCACAAAAATCAGGCCTGTGACAATGTCTCTGGATGAGGTGAGATGCTGCCTATTACACAGAGAAGGCAACAGATGACTGGAAGAAGCCCATAGCCTCCAGACAGGTTAGATTACCCCATCTGAAGAAAGGAACCACCAGAAATGGATGGTGATCATTCTGCAGGCCAGAATTTAGGGCCATTTCAGCGGGTTTTCTCACCTCCAGCTCCCCCCCTCCACTTCTCAGTAAAATGAGAAAGAATTCATAACCCGTGTCAGCCACACTCAGATAATCCAAGACTTAAAGAGTAGAACATTTCATGTAACCTCTTTTCTGCCCCTCACAAATGCTTTAACAACTTTAATAAGATAATGTATAGCTATTATCCTACAGCAAGTGTAAGTCAAACAACTCTCAGCTATTATTTCAGCAACAGAGCGAGCGCTCGGCGTTCCCATAATCCACAGCCTGGAACAGTTTACACATTGTCAATTTTAGACAGAACTGCCTTTTTCCACGTATCAAAATGTACACTGATGAATGGGAATTGTTTAGCAGACCCTCCATGGCTGGGTAATATACTGTGGCTCAAAAAAAAAAAAAAAAAAAAAAAAAAAAAAAAAAGAATAATGAGTGTATCAGTTGGACTTCTGAATTAATGATACCTTAAATTAGTTTAATTAATTAGTTTAGTTACTGGAGTAATTTAGTTAGCAGATTAATTAATGTTTGTTGAGTGCTCAGAGATAAAAGCTGCGTGTAAAGGCTGTTATTAGAGGGTGGATCCAGACGTGCAGGTTTTCCTCACTCTTCATTTATCCCAGCACGAATTGGATGCAGGGGCTCACTCTCTGAGCCTTCCAGCAATKGCTGTGTGGAGGTTGGTGTTCCCCAGGATCTGCTCCAGCACAGACACTCTCAAAATCAACAAAATCAAAATCCCMAAATCAACTGGGAGAATATCTGCCAAAATTTAGAGTTAAAGCTTTTAGCTGTCACCTCCTCTCGCCCAGGCTGTGGACTCACACATATTTTGCTGTGTATTTGGGTGCACATAACTCTCATTCCTCTTCCCCCACATTTCTGGCATGTTCTAGGCAGAAAATCTAAAACAACACATCCATCCCATCACAGACAAAACACAAAGGCTGCAAAGGAAGATCTGCACCTCTTGCAAGTTGCCATTGCATCCAGGTAAGGGTCCAGTCCAAGAGCAACATCGAGAGCTTTTTGTAAGTAATTGCTGAGCTGTTCAGGCACAYGAGAGTCATTGAGGGCTATTTCTTGGGCTTTGAGAAGGTTCTCAGCAATGTGCCCAGCTGGGGTTTCTGAAATGGAAATTAAAAGGAAGAATAATGATTTTGTAACTGCTCAAATCAGTGGAAGTGGAATTTAGAGTACATAAATACAGGTGTGCTTTTTTAATATATAAATATATATATATACAAAATACAGGTTTTTGAAGGACTATGAAAACAATACTGAAAACCTTTCAAAGCAAAAAAACCTTATACTCCCAATACATTTTTTGTCACATGCACTTTCCCTTTTCCCCCCTCAGAGCTGATTGAGGGTAAGAATGTTTTAAACACATGCATTTTGCTTTTAAATCTCYGAGACAAACACCAAACAACTGCATACAAACCCCATCCCTCCAGGCAGGATTTTCCTTGGAGAAAACAGAACRCTTCCAAAACTGCTCCTGCAGTTTGCCTGAGATAGAAAAGATGCAGAGAACTGTAKAGAGTGAGTGAGAAGAGGACAAATGACATCCCTTTTGCTCCTGWGGCACCAGAAAAATGAAGGGAGACTCTTTACAAGGCATGAGGGACTCTTTACAGGATGAGGGGGAATGGCTTCAGACAGAAAGATTAGATATTAGGAAGAAATTCTGCACTGTGAGGGTGGTGAGACCCTGACTCAGGTTGTCCAGAGAAGCTGTGGCTGCCCCTGGAAATCCCTGGAAATGTCCAAGGCCAGGATGGACAGGGCTTGGAGCAACCTGGGATAGTGGAAGGTGTCCCTGCCCATGGCAGGGGTGGGATGGGATGAATTTTAAGGTCCCTTTCAACCCAAATCATTCTGTGATTCTCTGAATCCATTCTGTGATTTACATCTCCTCCCAGTCTCCAACCATCAGGGGCAGCCTGTACCTCTTCCAGCAGATTTACAARTAATTGCAATTTCAGAAATCACCTTCCCAAAACACTCTGGTTTGACTTCAGCCCATACAAATCGAGAGGACCCACGCTCTTTTTGCAGCATTTTCACCCCCATTGAGGGAGCATCCCGGGCTCTCACTGCACATCTGGAGAATGCAGAATGCACATCTGGAGAATGCACATCTGGAGAATGCACAGCTGGAGAATGCTTGGTCAATGGACACCAAACCAGAGCTTGGGATCAGCTCATCCTCCCTGCCACTCACTCCGAGGCGTTTTGTTAATGTTAAAGGAGATAAAACACGTTTATAACCCATGTCAGCTTCCAGCAATGATCGTGYTATGTCTCAGTAACGGGTTCCCCGTGTCACAGAGGGGAGGAAACAAGCCCGAGCTCAAGTGTTTTGTAATCTGTGTTACAACACCCAGGGTGCTGCAGGGCAGGAGCAGCCCTCCATCCCCGATTATACAACATTTCTGTTTTTTTTTTTTTTGCAGCCTGGCGATGCTTTGTGCCAACAGCAGAGGTCAGAATTGCCCTCGTTTATGCAAGCACCGGACAAGTCGGAGCAGCGCTCGGGCCCGATGCTCTGAGCACTAAGGTGAGCTAAACTTTACGTAAGTGACGCTTTTTTTAAGGTTATTCCACGAAAAAAATGCTTAATTTCAGTGCATTCTTTTACACATAAGTACCACTTTTTTTAAGGTTATTCCATGAAAAAGTGCATCATTTCAGTGCATAATTTTACGCATAAGTACCGCTTTTTTTAAAGGTTATTCCACCAAAAAATGCTTCATTTCAGTGCACAATTTTACACATAAGTACTACTTTTTTAAGGTTATTTCACCAAAAAGTGCTTCATTTCAGTGCACAGTTTTACACAACCCCAGCAAAACTCCTGGATTATATTAAGCACTAAACTGAGTTGCCTGATTGCCTCCCTGTGGCTCTGTGGATGCACACAAATAATCTCTTCCCCTTTYCCGTCTAGCTGAGCATTGTCATCAACRGGAGAAAAGAAAAAGASCTCRCTCAGAGCAAGAAAATGCTGAGAATGGTCCTGAAAGAGCAGGGAAAGGCTGCTTTGAGTCTCCAGCAGTTCCATAAAGAAAAATAAGGTGGCAATTCTTAAAATGGACCATTCTTGCCAGCAGAGGATGGTTCCCAGCAGCTTCCTGGGGAGGTGCTGAGAGCACAGCCAGCCTGATTTAAAACTAAGCTGGATATTAAATTGCAGCTTCTACTCTCTCTGAAATCAGGCACTTTTGGTTCACACCAAAGTCAGGAGGTTGGACATGTGGGACMTCAGTGTSCCTTGAGCAGACAGGCAGTGCAGGRYCATGGAGGGAYCTGCWGTGCCASAAACRAAATTAAAAATCAAAATTGTGCTKGGATGGCACRTTTTAGGTGGGGAAAAGAGGAGGACACTTTAGTGGTTACAGGGGGATGTCCGGGACAAGGCACAGGATTTGGCAAAAACAAAGGAAAGACAGGAGACCAAAAAGACAAAATCTTTGGTTCCCGTTTTTGGGCTGTCCTCATTTCACCTTCCAGCCSTCAGATCTGTTTTGCAGCCCCAGCAGGGCCTTCCAGAAGAGCCCCCGTTCCCAGGCAGGGCAGAGCACGGACTCTGATCCACCTGAGCCCTTTGCTGCCAGACTGCTCGGTGCTCCAGTGCCAAGCGTTTTGGCAGGAGCTGCCCGGTGCTGAGCACTTGGAAATCAGTCTGTTAAACCCTTCCTAAAACGGTTCCAGCCACCACATTCACCACAGGCACCTTGGGCACTGACAGCAGCTCATCACAGCCCTCAGCTCTGCCTTGGTGAGTGAACACATCTGGGCACATCTGGGCACAAGGTGGGCTGGCAGTGTGGCCAAAACCCCGGTGCGTGGCTATCAAACATTGCAGGGGTACAAAGAACAGAAAGAAAAGCTGAATATCCCCAGTGCTCCATTAGGGAGAGGAATTATTAACAAAACAAGCATTGTGATTCATTAGAAATGAGCCACAGCCAAAGCTCTCCAGGCACTGTGGGTGCCCACCACCCCACCTTTCCCTCCTCCTGGGATCATCCTTCTCCCTCCTCCCCAGGTTCCAGACCCATCTCCCGTGCTCAGCCTCTCTCCTCTCCCCAGTTAACCCATCCTCTGCCAAACCACAGATCCTGCAGGTCCCATCTCTGCAGGTTCGGTGGGGAGCCAGCACCGGGGTGTCCCCTCCTGCCATTCCTGGAGCTCCCCACCCCGCACAGGGARTTTACCTGAAGGGCTGTGCATGTTCCTTCTTGTCCCCCGGCCTCAGAGGATGCTGCGGTGCCTCTGCTGCCCCTGCACAGCCCGAGGTCGGTGCTGGGTGCCCTGTGAAGGGACAAAGTCTCCTCCTTCCACCGGAGAAGCTGCGCGGGGAGGATGGCCCCGGGCTGGGGCTGCACCCAAACACCGGCAGCAGGTGAGATCCAACAGCATCTGACATGGAAAAAGCACAACAAAGGAGCCGACTTTTTGCTTTACATAAGGCTAAGTTCACGTCCTTGCCTTGGGAAGCTGCTGGCTCTCAAGGAAGCAATTGGCAGTTTCGTAACCTTCTAGTTACATATCACAGACATGCCCCGGCTAAACCAGCAGGGATGGGGCCAAAAATGTCCCAGGACTCTGAAAACAAAATTATCTACAAGTGGTCTTTAGCCACATGGTCACCACTGCCCYGTGGAGCTGAGCATTGGAGTGACCCCTGCTCTGGGCTCCAGGTCTCTGCCCTGGCTGGAGAAGGTTCTGTCATTTGGGACCAGTTGATCTGCACCCAAAATTGCAGATGCACCCTTGGGAGCATCCAGGGTATCCAAAACCTAAGGTGGTTTGCAGCAGAGCTGGGCAGAAAGGGCTTAATTCCTTAAAGTGAGGAATTAGAGCTCTGGAAGAGCTTTAGGATGGAGCTGAGATGGGCTGGGCATCTCCTTTTCACTCAGATGAAACACCAACTGAAGCCAGCAAGGAAATTTGGATTCCCCCATAACCAGAACAGCATCTTTCACCTCTGGGATGTATCACTTTGGGTTTATTCGGTCAAGAACCAACTTAAAGTACCTGCAAAGTGTGCAGAGAGGGCCCAGGGCTGGGCAGGGAGGTGAGCAGGCTGGGGGAGCTCACACAGGGCTCTTGGCAGCCCCTCTGCAGCACAGAAAGTACAGAGATCTGGCAGTCACTGGTGCTGGCAAGCAGCTGGGCTGTGGAAAGTTAATTTGTCAGCTTCTCAAATGTAACAGAAGACATTTCAGTGCCCCCCAGAATAGAACTGGGGAGTATAAATAGAAAATAAGTAAACGCACATGGTGAAAGAGTAAAAGAAAAGCAAATAAAAGAAATCTCAATGCTGAGTGTGTTGYTATTAATTAAAACAAATAAACAAGATGAAAAGAATGGCCTCCTGGCATACCTAATATTATTCTGTTTCGTGATTTAGTAAACAACAAACTGCATTAGAATTACACTTCCTGCAGAAAGCAATAAAAATTGTGTTTAGATTGGGAGTTAAAATTCAGACAAGTATTTGGTAAACAGGCCTCGAGCTTTAGTGTGCCATCTAATGCACACCCACTGGCTTTGAGGTGACTTTGGGCAAGTTGTTTYACTTCTGGGACTCTGTTTTGTTCTTCTACAGCACGGGGACACCAGGCTATCCCCTTTGCAGAGAGTTTTGCCCTCTGCAGATGAAGCCAGCGGCGAGGATGGGAGTCAGGAGCTGGCCACTGCTGGGAGCAGTGCTGCATGGCTTTAAGATTGCTCTGGTGCCTCTTTCCCAACATAAATTTTGAGATAGATGAAGGTTCCAAAGCGAGTTTGGCTGAAATTAAGCCTTCAAAGCAATGACACAGTCTTGTCCTATGGGTTCCTAAAGACCCGTTTTATTCCTGCCTCTGCTTTTACATCTGCTTTTGGTTTTCTTGATCTTTGTTTCTGAACAAGGACAGCTTTCAGAAACACGGCTGAGAAGGTGGCAAAGATGGGTTTGTGCCTTCAGGCACTGCTGRAGAAATCAAAGGGAGATCTTTCCTGTGCTCAGCACACAGAGCTGCAGGCCAAGGGAATTGTTTGTGTGGCAACSTGAGCCCGGGGCCCTCTGAAAACCCCAGCTGGAAGATCATATGGAAAAGTGAATTGTGCATCCCCCAGTCATGTGGGGATCAAAACTCAGCTCARTGCCTCAAACAGCCCTTCAGGAGATAAATTCCCTCTGATAATTTTTTTAAGCCCACCATAAAAGTTGAAATATATATTATATATATATAGTTTTGTTCCTCAATTCAAGAGAATYCCAGGAATGTGAGCTCAAAAGAGGTTTAACCAGCTGGTATTGATCCCCGTGCTCCTGCTTCTGTCTCATCCCACCAGAGCAGCAGCCWGATCAGAGGCTCTGCTCAGCACAGGAGGCTCCTGAATGATGTGAAGAATCACACCAACCRCCTTTCATAACTTTAGATTTGCTGTAGGGCATCGTGTTGGAAGYTAATGCATGCACTCTTACTGTACCTCTTCAGCATTATAAAACCAGCTGATTACACAACCCCATCCTGGTAGTCACACGTGTCTTCAAAACGCTGCTGCCACCCCAAACGTGCATCCCAGATTAGGTAATCTCGGTTTTGTAAGGAGCGTCTCACATGGAGAGGAGCGCTCCCCTCCCAAAGCCTGGTGACCCTGGAGCCTTTAAAAAGCACCTGGAAGGCACCCAGTGATGGGAGATCTCTGGACAGGGAGATTTCACCTTCTGGAAGCATGCTGGTGTCCGAGGAGCCCTGTGTCCCAGCAGYGCCAGCAGCCACCATGCCCCAGGAGCCGCGGCAGACGGATTTCCAGCTGGTGAGGGTCAAGAGCACATGGTGCCGCRTCAAGAAAGGAGAAGCCCTTTCCAGTGACGAGGACGAGATCACTCTCTCTGAGGCAAAAATGTGAGTATAGGAAGGAGCCTGTGCTGCTCTGCCAGCCCAGCTGGGAAATCTTCTTGGTGGGATGGAAAAACCACCGTGGGTGCCATGGCGGCTCCGACCCGCAATGGCAGAATTACAGAATTGCAGAATTAATTACAGAATTACAGAATTGAATTACAGAATTACAGAATAGTTCAGTCTGGAAGGGATCTTTGAAGGTCTTGATGGGCAGCCCTGTCCAGCCTGACCTGTGGGTACAACCATCCTTGGTACAACTCTCAGTATGGCAGCGCGGGTGGCTGCTGTGCTCCTTGGCACAGCTCTGAGTTACAGAGGGAATTTTATCCACTGCTTCCGTTTTCATAGATGGGAAATTCCTTTAAACTTCTGAAAAGCTTACGTAGGGACATCTGTGTGCTGCMCTTGGGCTCTCCTTCTCCTCTTCTGTGAATCTGTGTGTACAAAATCTCACGGGCAGGCACGGGAGATGGATGGGTTTATAGAGGTGGKCACAGACAAATGGAATAGGTAGGAAAAATAAACTGTCACTGACAGGAGCAAAACCCCTAACACATCTCTCAAACTGCAGAAGCCACCTAGTGCGCTTCAGACAGAGCAGAGAGACAAATTTCCCCCAGGGATACAGATCTTTGCTGATATTACATCTCTCCTGTTAATTATCTTTTAATTACAGGATACTCATTTTCACGAGCACATGGAGCCCCATTCATGGTGCAGATCTTTCTTAATGCAGCTCTGTTTTGCATGTCAGAAGATTTCTAGCCTTTGCCATGCCCAGATTTTGATRGCACAAGTCTGACCCTTCTCTCAGCCAGGTCAGAGGGATCTTCACCAGCACTGGCAGAGGGCAGAGCCCGGGCACGAGCATCACTCAGGCAGAGCAGGACTTTGGCAAACCCAAAACCAGCCTGCTGAACCCCAGTCAATAGAAGGGTGAACCTAGAGCYCAAAAACACCCAGAAAAATCCTCAGCTGGCCTATGCTCCCCCAAGGGCACCTTCAGCCCTGAACTCGCTGTGATTTTCACACAGCAGAGGGGTTGCAGAGGGTCCTGGTTGTGCCATCCAGCACCCGAAGCTGACTCCACCAGCGAATATTCCMAACCTGCTGTCTCTGAGCAGGGTCACCCACCAGAGGTGGATGCACATGCAGTTAAAGCACAGCCATAAGGTGGATATTTGGTGCATAGAAATGTACACAACGATGCTTTTTGCAATACCACACTTGAAAAGCCCAGATGCAATTTTCTGGAAGGTGCAAATCCTCCTGGTTTTCTTTAACAGCTATGAAGGTTAAGGGCAGACTAAGAGACAATTTGGTAAAGAAAGCAGAGAAACATCTACTTCAACCTCTAAGTGAATGCTCAGGCATGTGAAAAGAAATTGGGCATGTAGGGAAATCTGATTATCCCATGAGCCAGCTGCTCACTCAAAAAACAAAACAAAGGCTCACAGAAACTTTCATTTTTTACTGAACTGCAGCTCAAGAAATGGTCTTACATAAAAACCATTTTGCTATTTCTTTCTGCTTGTTTTGTTTTTCCTCTTTTGATTCCCAATTTGGTTTTCCCCTGTCTTGCCCATCCCACAGAAGGAAGGGGTTTAGGGCTGCGCTTTTCACTGGTTTAGATAGATAATAAATTCTGGCTTTTATTTATCCTTGACAATTCAAGCATGGAAAAGTTTCCCAACCCCAAAATAATTTTCTTTTCCTCTCTGGGTGCCTTTCTTGTTTCTATCACACCTATTTCAAGGTAGAGTTCCACTAATTCAGCTAAAACACTGTGGAAACCCTGTTCTGAATGGAGTATAGCACTGTGTATAGATAAGTATAAATTAACTCCTATCACCCAGATATATCATCACAGGATGCTTTGTCCAAAAATTTAGAAAATATTGGCAACCTCYTCTCATCCCCACTCCCTTTTTGGAAGCTGAAATGGTTGGGTTGGGTCTTTTTTTTTAATGTGCTTTCAGCTTCTAGCATGAAAAACGTGTTCCAGCCCTTCTTGGTCGGTATCTTTTTAATGCCAGGTAGGAATTGAGACATTTAATTCATCACTAAGACCTTGGAGAGCTTCTCCATGTATGAAATTTTTGAGCCCTGAGTCCCAGGAGGGTGTTCCACCCTCAGCCCTGCAGTGCACGGGCAGGAGACTCCACATTTTTCACCTCCCAGCTACATCCTTAAACCAGCTCAGACACGCAAAGGTCAGAACAGGAATACACTGATTCCAAACCGTGTTTTTCTGATCCTTTGCCAGAGGTGAGTGCGTCTCCGAAGGCGGGATTTCCTGGATCATCGAAGCTCCCATCTATTTTTGCTACAAAGTAGTAGAAACCTACAACATTCTGGAGCCCTCTAACAGCACCCTGCTCTGGGGTCACCTCACCGACCCCCAGCAGGCAGAGCTCGCTGCCAGCAAGAAGAAATTGCGGCGCTTCATCGTCATCGACGAGGTGGTCGACAAACTTTACGGCACCAAAGTCAGAGAATACTTCGAGGAGAACAACGTSCAGCACAAAATCCTCGCCCTGCCCACCACCGAAGAAACCAAATCCATGGACTTGGTGCTGAASATCTTGCACGAGGTGCAGAAGTTCAGCCTGGACCGGCGCACGGAGCCCATCATCGCCATCGGGGGCGGCGTGTGCCTGGACATCGTGGGCTTGGCCGCGTCGCTCTACCGCAGACGCACCCCCTACATTCGGGTCCCCACCACCCTCCTGTCCTACGTGGATGCCAGCGTGGGGGCCAAGAATGGGGTCAACTTCCTGCAGTGCAAGAACAAGCTCGGGGGATACACCCCRCCCGTGGCGAGTTTCCTGGACAGGTCCTTCATCCAGAGCATCCCTCGGCGGCACATCTCCAACGGCCTCGGGGAGATCTTAAAGGTATGAACTTCACTGAGTGGTTTGGGTCAGAAGGGACTTTTGGTCCCCTATTGGTCCCCCCCTATTGGTCCCCTATTGGTTCCCTATTTTGGTCCCCTATTGGAACCCTATTGGTTTCAATATCTCTGCAATAAGCAGGGACACCTTTCACTAGGTCAGGTTGCTCAAGCCCCATTCAACACATCATTGAATATTTCCAGGGATGGGGCAYACACCACTCCTCTGAAAAACCTGTCCCAGTGTTTCACCACCCCCMTTGTAAAAAATTTCTTCCTCAAAACTGGCCTGAATCTACCTTCTCCCAGTTTAAACCACTATCCCGTGTTCTATCACAACAGGCCCTACCAAAAGTCTGCCCTCATCTTTCTTACAAGCCCTTTTTAGGCATTGAAAAGTAAAATGTGCAGCAGCATCCATGGCACTGAAAAAACAACTTAGAGAAATCGAGGTAGGCCATCAATGCTGCAAAGGGACTTTTAACTCTCATTGAGTCCATACAATATTTTTTACAGCTGCTGAATTTATTAGAATATCCCTTACACTCAGTGTCCAGTGCTAACCATGAGGAGGAAATGCCAAAACTCACAGCCAGATGGAGACACAGCAAAAAACAGGCAAGAAAAGCCTCATCTTTCCACGGAGGCTGATCCATAACACTCTGTAATGAACTCCTGGCAGAGAATCTGAGGCTCATTATACTGGGGATTAATAATCTGCAAGATCATTTGCACCTACCTCACTGGGTATGTCGAGTGTGGTCAATCAATCTCCCGCGAGGCAAATTCTGCTTCTAAAATTACCTGGAAAGTGCACAGTAAATGGCTTTATGTCTGGAGAGCTTTGGAAACTTTTGATAAAGCAGAGTTCAAGCTATTAAAGTGTATTAGAGATGAGTTCATCAGCAGCAATTTTCAGTGCTTGCACCGTAAGAAATCCCCAGGATATCTGGAGGTTTCTGGCAGGCACTGTGAAACCCTCAGGTCACCATTCCCCACTGCAGGAGGGGGCCAATGCCTGAGTCAGAGGGGAAAAAATATTCTTCTAACAAGGAAATCACTTCTAAACCTTCATATTCTCCACATTGAAATGTCTTCCTCTCTTCCATCACCCAAAGAGAAAATCCAAGGATTCAATGAGAGCTGTCCTGGGGTTGGCCACCAATCTCCCTGTCCTGAGGGTGGCCACCACCCAGTCTCGAGTTTCTTTCCAGGCTCACAAACAACCAAATCTCATTCCAAACCACTTGCTGGGCTATAGGGAGCATTAGTAAACCCCCAGCACAGGCAGAGATGCCCAGAATCAGGGGAATTTGCACACCAGTGTTTCTATCACTCTGCCATTTCACTCAGCAGTGCTGGCACTGTGTGACACCAGCAGGTCACATCCCACAGGGACCTGCTGAACAYACCCCAAATGCATTTGTGCTGGCCAGGAACTGTGTCTGCAGAAACACCTTCTCAGCTTACAGGGGTAGAACTTGTCCATGTTCCACACATGCAGGTGTTCCTGTGCTAGCGAATAAAAAATGTTATTGCAGTCCAGTCTACTGATAATTATCCTTAATTACCTCTCTTGTTTTTTGTCTTAGATGGCCCTCATGAAACACAAAGGGCTGTTTGACCTGCTCAAGAGCCATGGAAAATACCTGCTGGACACCAAATTCCAGTCCTGCAATGGCCTTGCTGACCACGGGGACGCTGCGCTGCAGACCACCAGGATTGCCATTGAAACCATGCTGGAAGAGCTGGCYCCCAACCTCTGGGAGGATGACCTGGACAGACTGGTGGATTTTGGCCACCTCATCAGCCCAGAGCTGGAAATGGTGAGTGACAGACTTTATATTGTGACATCCACTTCAAATATAAAACAAAAAAAATTTAGTGGGCAGCATGAAAAGGATGTTTCTCTCAGCTCCTTTTGTGCAAAGGAGATGAGGGAAACTCCAGATTTGCAATGCTACCMCAGATCACCCAACACACCAGCCTGGTGTCCAAGGGACCCCTGCCCATTTCCCCCACACTTCCACCCATTTCCAATTCAGAGCTCAGACCAGTTGTTCTTACTGGGCTTTTAGTGAAGCACAAAGACAGCCAGATTTCAGCGGAGCTGCTAGAAATTACCAACGTGAGCTGTGACAGCACAAAGGCATGGAGACCACAGCCCATATTCCTGGGGAGAGATTGCCATTGAGGAATGAGGGGGGAAAACTTAGACCTTATCCAACATTCAGAGCCCTTTCCTTCATTGCATGGTGCTCCATCAGTGATTTAGATCCYGGATCCCTATGGGAGATTTTAGCTGCAATTAATCCCGTGTAAAACAGATCATCCTAGCACCCCATAAATCACAAGACGCCAACATCCATCAGCCACAGTGAGTCAAACATTGATTTTCAGGGATGCTTTCAGAACCAAACCCTACTTGTTTCCTATTTGCCACCCACCTGTGCTGTGTTGCAGAGGGTTCTGCCGTCGCTGATGCACGGGGAGGCCGTCAACGTGGACATGGCGTTCATGACGTACGTGGCGCACGCTCGGGGGCTGCTGGGCGCCGAGGAGAAGGAGCAGATTCTGCAGTGCATGCGGGGTCTGGAGCTGCCCCTGTGGCACCGGGGCTGCAGTTGGGCCCTGATCCAGAGAGCCCTTCGGGAGCGCCTGAGACAYGGCGGGGGCCAGCCCCGAATGCCCCTGCCCACCGGGCTCGGCGTGGCAGGTACTGACCAGACCCTAAAGCGATATCCCAAAAACGCGCTCTGTGCTCTGCAGATGGGCATTTCTCCTGCTCTTTGTCACACCCTGATAAACCCATCGAGAGACAGGATCCCTCGTGTGTACAAGTCCCAGAACTCCATTAAGGAGTTCATCATAATTGCATGATGATTAACCAATTCGCCTTGCAAAGGTAAATGCAGTGTTCTGGCAGACAAACCAGCAAGGGCAAAAGAGAAAAACAATTCCTTTGTTATACCTGAAAGGTTTTGTTAAACAGTCCCTGGCAAAAGGAATTTAACATATTACTACGCCTAGAACTAATACTTGCAAACTAAATAATATTGATTTGATATCTGGGATGAAATACTTCTACTTATAAGATTTAGAAATAAAACGTAACCAGCCCCCAGCACAGAAGCACTGCAGAGGCCCAGGCTGGGATCTCTGGCATCAGTTCCCATTCACACCATTTCTGTGAAGCTCCGTTTCTACACACAAGGCAACAGGCTCTCACCAGTGTGTGCAGGCAGGAAAAGCTCCTCTGGATCTCGCATTAACCACAACTCTTGTTTTCCAGAGATATTCAACGACACCAGTGAAGAGACCCTGCAGAGAGCATACGAGCTGTGGGTCAGGGACTGCAAGACAGTGCTGGAGGAAGAGCTGCAAACCCAAGGAGATGCTTCTGCCCCAGGCCTGAGCTGTGTGCCACTCTAAGTTAGTGGGCAGAACTCAATTTTTGAACAAGATAAATCCAGAAGCACCCATGAAACTGCACACACCCCAGAGCTGCGTGGAACAAGCAGAATATTGGCATYTGACCTGATTTACCTTTTTCAATTGCTTTGTTTGAAAGGGAATCTATTATTGCCCGAGAAGTGATTGCTCACAAGTGAAATCACCAGGTGCCTGCAGTGTAGTTCAGAGCAAGCTGTCTTCCTTCAGGGAGTGTGAGCAGGATTATTCATTTATTTAGTTAATCCAAGCTGGGAACTGCCATGGTTGTCCCACCATTGCAGGTGTAGCTGACTCACAGACCATGGCACCATGCAAAATCTCTATGCTATATAAAGTATTTAAAGTAGGTTATCTCCTTCACTGATTTTTTTTTTTCCTTCATGCTGTTCTTCTTGTTTTCTCCCATTGGAAAGAGCAAAAAAAGCAGCTCATCTGCCAGCCTTTGCACCCAGTGCAAGGGAATGACACACTCTTGGTTTTTCTTCACACACTCCGATTTGGGGCTCCAYCACAAGTCACAGATGAGTGAATTTCAGTGGGGGTTGTATTTTGGCAGCACAGCAGCCCTTTGCCATGCTGGCCAGTCTCCTCTTGCTGCCCAAATGTGCAGGATGGTTTCAGTGTGGAGCCCCTGCATGGCATCCGTGTGACAAACAGACAGCACAGTTTGCAGCACTCCAGCCTGACAACAAATCTGRGCTCCTGGAAATGTCACAGAACCCCCTGGTGACCCCACATCTGCCACAGGGCTCCTCATACCTTCAGCCCCTGGCTCCTTTCCCATCTCGGCCCTCTCTGGTTAGATAAAGCCAGCTGGGAAAACCAAGAGAAATCAGAGGATTCCAGGCAAGTTCATCATCTTCCAGCAGCCTCAGGGTCTGGATCCTGAGCAGATTATATAAATGGATGCTGATGGTGAAAAACGTGAAAGCAATGCCATCCTTCTCCCTGGAGGTCAAATCAAAGGAGTTGCAATCAACAAACAGCCTTTGAATTATTTACAGCATTGTTTGTTTTTTCCCCCGGTTGTTTTTTGGTTTTTTTTTTGTGCGGACGTGCTGGCTTCTGTTTTGCTAAAGCAATAAAAGCGACTAAAATTGAAAAACTTCTGAAAGAATGATTGCATTCCTGCCATCTGAGTACATTTGCATGTGCTTGAGGGGCAGAGAGGGACTGGAGAAGTGAGGCACAGAGCTGACACCATAAATCCCCTTTGAGCCTGGGGAAGATGTGCTTAAAACTGCACASAAAGCCCTCCTCAGCCTTCTCCAGAGCAGGGCATCTCTCCAGGGTTTCACAGAGGGTACTGACTTACCAAGAAGGTTCAGAACTTCCTCAGAGCCACAACTTCTWAGAAACAAACCCCTAATTCCCAGAGTTAAACCTGCCTGGGGCTGRGGATATCAGTGAGCTCGTGTCCCTTTTCCAGAGCAGCAAACTCGTTCAGAGGGCTCCTGACAGCAGCCACTGTGAGGGAAGGGCATCCCTGCTGCTCTCAGGGACCCAGCAGCTCCAGCTTTGCTGGAACAGAGCAGGGGAGGGCTCAGGAGTGTCTGAGGGGATGGTCAGAGGGTGGACAAGGCTCTGGTCAGTGGTGCCCACCAACAGGACAAGGAACACAGGCAAAAGCTGATGCACAGGAGGTTCTATCTGAATTTGAGGAWGAACTTCTTCACTGTGCAGTGACCACACATGGGAACAGATTGTCCAGAGAGGCTGGGGAGGGTCCTCACTGGGAACATTCCAGAACCATCTGGACACCACCCTGTGCCCTGTGCTCTGAGATGACCCTTCTTGAGAATGGAGGCTGGAGCAGAGGACCCGCTGTGGTTTCTTCCATACTGAAACATTCTGTGACCCCAAATTTTTGGGAGTGTGAGAGAGCCCCAAGGACAGCAGTGTGAGGGGCAAAGGTGCTGAGAGCCATGGAATGTTGTGCTGATGACCTGGGCAYGCTCACAAAGTAGTTTCACTCTCTCCAGCAGCTGTGTGGGCCWTTTTTCACACCAGATAAATGACCTAGAAATGAATAAAGCTCAGGATCATCATCTGKGATAATCCCAAACCTGTGTCCTACTCCCATCCACCTCCGTGCAGGAGGTACAATACAAACATCAACCTGAGTTATTTCAAATGTCCAGGGAGAGAATCCCAGGAGCCCAAAGGCATTCACTCCGTTTTAGCAGAATACAGGTGAATTGAACTAAAAACAGTCACAAAACCACACTACACATTAAAATCCCAGGACCCAGGGATTAAAAGCACCCAGGACCGATGTGTTTTTGGTGGCAGTGACCTGGCTGTGGGTCACCTGCAGCCATCCCCCCAGGCTGGCTTTGCCTCTGCCTTCAGAAGYCAGTGGTTGTGTCTGTGACAACACACCCAAGGAGCTGCAGCACAATTAGGACTGAAAAGTGAACACATGATTATTATTATTTTTTTTACCCTCCCTTCTGCTGTGGGTGACAGAACACAATCAGCCCCTGACGTGCTTGGTTGCCTGGTAGCAGACAGGCACATTTTTAATTATATACTAAAATATGCTAAAGAACATAAAACGGCTGCGTGACTAATATGTGTGTATCGAGAAAGGCACATGACAGCAGCAAAATTGCTTCAGTGTCTGATAAAAAGTGCCTCTGCCAGGCTTGTCATCAAAAGATCAAGGGAAAGGGGTGGAAAGTATTATTAATAAAACAGTGACTTTTTAAAATACCCCTCATTGTTTGAGGTGCATTTTTTTTTAATGTCTAGCATGAATTTAATTCTTTTCCATTTATTCAGCTCTCATTTAGTTCCTGCTTTTTCAAGCAGAAGTATTATATTAGACCTAAAATCTCTGCTTATTCCCTCATGACRCATTACTCCAAAGAGAAAAGCGGAAAGTCCCAAATGGGTCCTTGCAGGGCAAGTTCTCCCGGGATTTGTTTGAACAAAATTACTTTAGTGGTCAGAGAATAAGGAATTATTTTATTATTTACATGTGCCAAAGTAATTATTTTTGCATCAACCTGTTCTATAAGCTGCTTTTTTTCAGGGACAAAAAAAGAGAAATATTAATAAAGTCCCTTTCAACCCAAACCAGTCTGTGATTSTGTGGTTCTGGAATAGATAAAAGGGTATCAATSCAGTTATCACTTGTGCCCAGTGAGTACATTCAGTGTACTCAGTGTAAAGTGAGAATTAGGTCTTGAAGACATTAAAAGATTGTGACTRAATGTATTTAAAGTGGCTGAGCACAACAGCAACTGCCTCCTACAACACAGCACCTGCTCACCTGCCCGWCTGGAGCTGACAGCTCTGCTGTGARGGACACRCTGCATCCAGAGAAAACCATCCAAAAAGGACATAATTCAGTCCCAACTCGCCTTGGAGAGGGTGGGTTTGCTGTCCTGGGCTGGGATGGAGCACAGGCAGCACCACGGGGATCTGCTGCTGGCAGGGACACAGCCCCACAAGAGTGTGCTGTTCCCACTCTTTTCATTCGTGTCTCACTCCTGCTGCTCACGGAGGAAAGGCAGCAGGAGCAGGGAGCTCTGGAGAGGCACTGCAGAACACCAGAGCAGGTTTGAGCAGCAGCAGAGCCCCCAGAGCACAGTGTCCCATCCACCAAAGCCAGCTTGAGACATTCCACAGTGTGTKCATCAACCCATGGTGACATTTATACATGTGTTAAAGAACAATYGATATTTAGATGCTTGGTATATAAATATTTTTACGTCCTGGCCCTTCCTGCTGACCACAGCAGCCTTCTCCTTGCCTTGCAGAGCTCTTGGCCAGCACCAACACAAAGGGGTTCAGCACAGGAAACATCGCTTCCCTCTGATCCCAGAGCACAATGCCTGTTACGAGAGTCATTCCCAAAAACTGAGCTGGACAAGGAGAAGATCCAAGGAAGGATCAGCCTCAGGTCACGGGCACATCAGGGGTGGTGTTCAGTGCACAAACATTTGACCTGCAAGGCAGCATCCTGTCAAGCCTCACTGATTTTAATGATCAGGAACACTTTTTCAAGCCATTCCCCTGCAACTTTCCACCAAGTGCATTTCAAAGGAGCTGCAGCAACAGCACAGGGCAACTTTCAGTGCTGAGACCATCCCCAGACATGAGAGCAAAAGGAGCAGCAGTGACCCCAGCGGGGCAGAGCAATGAGCACCTCCCTCCCGGCATCGGGAGCTCGCCTGGAAGGAAAGCACCGCAAGGTGACAGTGGCAGTGTCCTGCTGTGCCACCACACCACAGCCCCACAGCCCCAAAGCCCAGCAAAACAGACCCACCACACATGGCTGGACTTATTTTTGATATCTGCTCTCTCACCCTGCACAGAATTTTTCAGGCTTGTCCAAAGAAACTGAAAAGCTTCTAAGCAGAGCTGCCACCAGCCCTTAGTGACACAGAGCTGCTGCCTGCAGCCAATATCCCCACGATGGGCGCAATCCCTGCTCCTCCTGGGTTCTCCAACCCAAACAAAACCTCTGAGTGCTCCCACCCACAGCAAGAAATTCACTCCAAACTGACCACAAAACAACAACTGACCGCTAAAAGCAAAGTCCAAACACATCTAGGAACTCCAGCTTAAATTAGAAATTTTATCCTAGGCTGCCGATAAACAAATTTTCTGATGCAGTACTACTACAGTCTAATACTAAACTTAAGTTCTAAAGAAATTACATTGCAAAACCTGCTGGAAACTGTTTTTGTGCACATTTTGTGCACTCACAAGCTTTTACTCAAGTATCCTCCACAGAGAGTCAGATATTCTTTTGCTGGGTTGGTTTTTAAATTGAGCTGCTGATTTTAAATTCAACTGAATTGGGTATTTACTGCTCCTAACAGGTATCAGGATTTCAAGACACGGCTCAAATTCAATACTTCTGTTTGTATTCAGGGCTCAACACTCAATAACCCCCACAATGCTGCAGCAAGGCTCACTGAGTGGGAACTCAGCGCTGTGAGCACAGGAAGCCAAAGGCTGTGGAAGAACAGCAGAAAGGATGAGAGCAACGGAGACAGGGAGAAACAATGAAAATGGGAGACACAACAAAACTGCAGCGGTTCCTGAGCAGCAGAAGGCATGAGGAGCTGTTTGTGTGCTGGGGGAGAGAGGCTTGGGAGGAGGGAGCAGAGGGAGAGCAGGGATCCTGGAGAAGGGGGTGAGATGGTGTGTGGGACTCTGGGGACCTTGTAGAGGTGACAAAAGGGGCAAAAGGCCCCACAGAGGGGAGCACAGGGCAGCTGGGGGCTGTGAGAGGCAGGGAGGGAGGGAGGCAAACGACAAGAACCCACGGGAGGGGACAAAGGCAATGACATTTTACCACATYCAYCTGTTTTATTCCTTACTCTGGACCRTAATCCGTGGGTCYTTCCACCTSGGGGTGCATTTGCATTTTTGAGCTGTAGGTTCATTGCTCTGTGTGACACAAACACAACTGGACAGCTCTGGTGGARCCCAGGATGCCAACCAACACCAGGTCAGGGACATGGACACATCCACAGACACAGAAGCACTGCAGGGACTTCAAAGGCACAGGAGAACAAGATCCACTCACATGGAAAACGAGGGACTTACACAGATGTATGTGAAAAACCAAATGCTTTAATCCATCTATCAAGAACAACAGTTCAAATTATTTCATTGGATACATTAATATTGATCCATAATTTACAGTGCTATGGACCATACACAAATTATTGCTGCAGTCAACAGCAGATGAATATCAACATTACAGTACCAAGCATCATAGCAAGAGGCAGTAATTAATGTCACTTTTTCAAGAAATATAGGTATTTATACTATTATCAACATCAGCTTCCCCCCCAGTGCATTTTATGTCAAACAACATAAATGTAAGTGCATTATTTTGTGCTTTGTGCTTTCCTTATGTACCTTCTTTTTGCTTTTACAGGTTGTAAGAGTTAAATATTGCTTTATAGGCCAAAAGCAGAAAGGAAGAACTCCATGGTACTCTGCACGTCCCTGCCTGTGGCCAAGTGAGACTCGGTCAGTTTGTCCAGGGAAGCCACCCCTGCCCAGGGTCACACCAGGCTGGGCAACAGCTTCTGTCCATGTCACTGCAGAGTCCGTGCCAAACCCTGCCCTGTGCCACCAACCCTGCAAATGTCACAGCACACCCTCCACGGGCAAAGACACCTCCCATTAGCACCCACCCTGTGGTGTCTGTGTCACCCAGAGGTGTCCCCGCTGCAGTGTCACCGTCCCAAGGGTGGGCAGGGCTGTCACCTCAGGAACCACGGGGCGAAGGGTGAGCAGGGCACAGCCAAGTTCTGTGTCACCCCAAAACACAAAGTGTGGGAGCACACAGACATCTGCCAAGGAACCCAGCTCCTGATGGAATGGCTGGCCTCCAATCCTAACTCACCTCCACACAGCACGTGGCCAAAAATCACAAACCATGGCCGTCAGAGAGTACCAGTGATTTCACATAAGCTTGAAAAATATTAATATACCACAGTCTAGACTTGAATTCCTGAATGCCCAGGGCAGGCACCAAACCAAAAGCCTCACTCAATACATTCAGTGGTTCTCAGTTACTCCACCCCAGCACGCACACCCTGATTTGTGGTACCGACGCTGCAGAGCTGTCCCATGTGCTGGGAAAGGGCAGTGCAGCCCTGTTACAGCTACAGACGTTTTCTACAGCCCTGATTCTCCTACCTGGCACCCCAACCTGCACCCCCATACTCAACTGGGAGCTATGACACAGCAGGGACTGGGATTCCCTGCCCCAGGACCAYGGTGACCACAGCCCATCCTGCAAAATCCCAGCTCCTGCCTGGGCCACAGCTTCTCTACCCCAGGAAAGACACGTTCCCAAAAGTCTGGGGCTTGGGGCGAGAGGCATCATTGCATCCTAACCCCAGCTGCTCCTTCAAAAACTGGAAAAGAAAGGAATAAAATCCACAACCTGGTGGTTGCATCAACACTAACACACAGCTAGCTGG